GCAGGGGCACTTCCCCCTGGCTGCTGGGCTTCCCGATGTGTCATCGGAGGAAATCTCATTGCAGACTTTAAACAGACTACTTTTACATCATCTGATAGTGATAGGACAAGGGGAAATTATTTTAAACTCAAAGAGATGAGATTTAGTTCGGCTGTTAGGAGGATATTCTTTACTCAGAGGGCAATGAGGCACTGGCACAGGCTGCCCAGAGAAGCTGTGGATAATGCCCCATCCCTGGAGGTGTTCAAGGCCAGGCTGAATGGGGCCCAGGGCAACCTGATCCACTGGGTGGGAGTCCCATGGCAATATTTAGGGACTGAGTGAACTTCAATGTCCCTTCCTACTCAAGCCATTCCATTATTCTGTGATTATGAGGGATTATCAAATATCTGCTGAGGTAGCTGCATATGAGATATAGAAGCAGAAGCAGCACTCAGGTCTACTTGATCATTACAGGCAGCATTTTCCAAATACATGATTTCCACAGTGGAGCTTGTGTGAAGGACCAAACCAATTTCATGTGTTCTCCTAATTGCTTGGAAGAACAGAAGTAATCCTTGTCCACAGAAATTAAGGAAAGCTGCTTTTGCTGTGTGTTGAGTGCCATATGCAGTGTGGAGCAGCATTGGGCCAGGTGCTCCCTGGACCAGATTAGCCACAGAAACGTGTTGGGGCACCTTCCTTCCCAGGGCAGGAGCTGGGACACACAATGTCCCCCAGGGGAGAGCTGTCCCCTCTGAACTGATGCTGTCATATTCTGGATTTCTGCTGTCCTGCATCCCCTGCTACTGCATAACTGAGTCGGACGGTAATGGAAAGCCCAGCAATATGGTTGGAGGTATTTTTGATAAGTAGAAAGAATATGCCATTACAACTGTGAAAACGTGAGTCAGTTTGTGTAGAAAAGATGATGCAGACGGTAACAGATATTCTATGGGCCTATTATTTACTTGATAGAGGAAGCAAGCTGAAAAGATTGCCAGGAAGGCTGCTTTTACTTGGAAACGTGCTTTTTCTTCTTCCCCTCAAAAGTGAAACTAACGTATTATTCACTCTCACAGCTTGCTGAGCTCAATATTTGGCAGAACACACTAGCAGAAGTGGGTTGTCCTGAGGAGGGTGGTTGAGACATAGCTACTGAAATCCTTACCATCAGCATTTCTTGGTTTATGATGAACAAGTGCTGTGAAAATATTCTACCAAATGCTGCAAATTATTTTTAATCCCTACAAAATGTTGCAGCAATATTCTAAAGTAGTTTTAATTATTTTAAATATAAGGAGATACTGGAAGTTCTCCTGTTCTTTTGTTTCTTTGTTCTTTTATTTCATTGTGTGTTTTGCATCTTTGTGACTTTTTTTCCTTTTTTTTTTTTTTTTAAAATTCTTCCTAGTTCATATTCCTGCCCTGCTTCCTTTCAAAAGTAAAGAGCTGAAAAGTTATGTTGGTCCCCAGAATTCCTACTCATAAGCCAATATTTCTTCTCTATAGGAAATAGTGTTTCAAATAGCAGTGGTATGTACCTTAATGAAGACATAGTGTTAATGAGAGAAAACCCCACAACACTGCTAAGGAAACACAGCCCTAGGTATGCTTTCTTCACAGTGGGTCCCAAAAGAACTGAGTCTTTCATCTCAGTAAGCTAAGTAAGTGAGCTAGATTTCAAGATTATCTCTTGTGCAACCTGTAGCTCCTGGATTTACTACGCCCAGTGTCAGTTTAGTAGTGTGATGTGCCACTGCTTTTAAAGGAGACAACACATCTTAATGATAGCCTGAAAGAAATTTTTGCTAATTGGTAGTTTGCTTTTTTGTTCCACTTTAAATCTCAGGAGATTCATCTACGACTCATTTTTCCTCGTTTTTTCTGATAAGGTTTTCTGATACCCAATCAGAAATATTTTAACTTTGAGGCCATTCATGGAGTGGAAACATAAGGGATCCAAGCATTCTCTAGCATTATAAGAACTGACCAAATGAAATAAGTACTTATTTTTGAACAGTAAGCAATTAAATGCTAGAACAAAATTATAAAAGCTGTGTAATGGAAATGCCTTGTCTCAGTTTTTCTGCTTAAGACTGGAGATCCTTCTGCACCTTATAATTTCTTTTGAAAGAGAAAGAACATACTAACATACAGGAGAGCCAGACTCTGTAATTAACAATGCATTCTTTGTTCTAAACTCTCTTTACTTCAAGATGACAAGCTTGCAAGATTTCTGAGATGGAAGAGATGAGGAGAACCCTTTGTTTCCACATCAGATACGCTTAACCATACACAACTCAATGTATCTAGTAGCTTTTCCATTTTATAAACCCTGAATTAAAATCTCTGCAGTGAAGCAGATCAGTGAACAGCATTTTTAGAATTTAATTGCTGGACAAAAGAGGGGTATGCCAGCTGGGTGAGTGGCCAGAGAGACAGCCTGCAGAGACATCCATGCAAGTGCCAAGAGGAGGTCTATCCAGCAACTCAAAACCCCACAATGGCATTGTGGAGGCTGTTTTTCCAGCTGTGTGATGGAGAAACAGCCATGGAGAAGCAGGAAGAACAGACTAATAGAGAAAGATAGCAGATGGCACGTAGCATGTACCAGGGAGGAAATCCTTCTCAAGTAAAAGCAGCAAGGTTTAGTCTAAAAAAGAATCTAATATGGACAAAGATACACAAAGAAATCCTATGAATAAACCAAATCAAACCAACCAACCAAGGAAGAAGCAAGACCAAAGCAGTGTAAGAGCAGAAATAAGCCAGGGAGATTTAGGCTTGTAGAGACACAATCTGTTTGTACTGGTCATAAAGTGAAGAAAATATTGCACAGACTGAGAATTGGTAGATCTCAGGATTTTCTAGTTCAGCTCCCTGTGGAATGCAAGCCACTTCATTTTCATCTACATCAGGCACAAAAACATTTCTCCAAAGTGCAGACTTTGAAACAGAAGAATTAATCTATAAAGCCAGGAATTTCATTACATGAAGATCAGCAATAGACCTATTTATATCTATATACCAAATGCCTCAGGGAAACAACTGAAATACTTCATAAATTAAAAATATTGTTCTTGCCTGGGGAAGACATAAGTTGGAGGAAAAACTGAGGATTTTACTGACGAGAGAATAGATGTGAAAACAAAAGTTTCAGTCAAATTCTTTCGTAGCAGATCTCTGAAAGTTGCGTCATTGGAGAAAATGCCATTGCCTAAACACAGTGAAATTCTACGCAGTAAAATTCACTCAGGTGTTACTGAACGGATAGCTCAACTCTTTTTGCTTAAACCTACAGGTCTGGAGAGATAGAAAAAGCAGTTAATAGGATTCTCTAGTTCCTTTAGCTGCTTGTTACATCTTTTCATGAACACCTCTTACTTCTAAATTTCAAGTCTTAAAGCCATCTACTTGTGATGTTTTTTTATATCTACAAGCCAAAATAGACTTCTTGTTTAAACTCAGAGCCAAGAATCACAGAATCACAGAATCACAGAATCACCCGGGTTGGAAGGGACCTCAAGGATCATGTAGTTCCAACCCCCCTGCCTAGCAGGGCCACCAAACGTACACATTCAGATCAGGTTGCCCAGGACCCCGTCCAACCTGGCCTTGAACACGTCCAAGGACGGGGCATCCACAACCTCCCTGGGCAGCCCATTCCAGGGCCTAACCACTCTCCTTGTAAAGAACTTCCCCCTAACATCCAACCTAAATCTTCCCTCCTTCAACTTGGATCCATTTCCCCTAGTCCTGCTGTTGTCAGCCCAAGACAAGTTACAGAGAAGATAATTCTACAGGACATTGAAGATCAGTTAAAGAAGAGCTTTCTCTTCTCAGGCATGGTCAACATGGATTCATCAAAGAAAAGTCCTGCTTTGCAATTTCATCTCCTTTTATGAAAAGGTCACCCAATAAGTGAATAAAGGGAAAGCAGTGGATGTAATTGGATTTTAGTAAGGCTTTTGATATCATCTCTCACAATATAACTCTAGACAGATTGTTATACTATGAGATGAACAAGTTCATGCTGTGGTGGATGACGAAGTGGCTGAACGGTACTGCATATCAGATGAATCAGGGTCAGACACAGGCATTGACTGTGAGTTGAGTGGCTGGAGCAGGAAGATCACCAAGAAGGGACGTGGGTCTTGAGGCTGCTGATGACACTGGGTTCAGCATAAGCCAGCAGTGCACCTCGGCACCAAGGGAGCAAAATTACATTTGGGGATGCATTAAACACAGTGTAGCCAGATGGTGAGAAGTAATTCTCCTATATTTAGCACTGCTTTAGCCTCACCTCAAACGTTGCGTGCACTTCTGGGGTCCAAAACATAAAAATGATATTAAGATACCTGAAAGCATCTTAAGATGGGGGGCAACACAGCTGGTAACAGGGCAGGAAGGTATGCTCTGTGAGAGGGGCTGAGGGCACTTGCACTGCCCAGCCTGGAGAATGAGAGGTACCTCAGTGCTCCCTGCAGCTCCATGAAGGAGCTGCCAGCTCTGCTTCTGGGAACCAAAGGCAGAACAGGAATGGCACAGAGCTGCCTGGGGAAGGTCATTAGGGGAAATTTCTTATGTGAGGGTAGTCAAACACTGGAGCAGCCTTCCTATGCCTGTCAGAGCTCAAAAGTCTTGATGATCTTTGCATTTCCCTTCCAGTGGAGCTATTCTGAATTCTAAAAAAAAAAAAAAAAAAAAAAAAGTTTATTCTTCATTTTTACTTTGAAACTGAAAATCAAGAAGAAAAACTATTGAGGCAGCTGCCAGTCTTCGTGTGAAAAGGTCAGGCCCAGATGTTGTAGCTTTAGACTGTCACTCTCCTGTTGAGTAAAAAGTTGCTAAGAAACTGTGATCTGTAGGCTGGTCTTCATAGATGTTCTATGTACCATGAAAAAATCCAGATCCTTTTAAACCAGATTTTCCTTACTTTGAATCTGTACATCGTTAGAACAAACTAGAACAAGATCTTGGTACTGTTTCTCGGGAAAATTTGCTATTGACATCAAGGATTAAGAAACAGTATTTTTATTAACAACATGACAAGCATATTTCCAAACAAACAAATTACGTATTCTAGGCTCTCTTACTGAGTTCTGATTTATCAGAGATGTTTACTCAGAAAGTACATCACATACACAATTTAAGTTACAAAAAACAAGGTGAAAATAGTGGATAAGATACTTGCGTTGTGAATTATGACACAGATTTTTACATTTGATGCTCCAGAACATTTCATAGCAGAAACCTTTTCCCTCAGATACACTCTGAATCTGTAGAGGCATTTCTAAACACAAACACGTATGCAAATATTTAAGGAAACCCTACAAAATCAGGCATCTTCCGAGTGCTGAAACACAAAACAAGCTTTAAGATTTTTTTCTAATCTCTTTTCTACTTAAACTTTGGTAACATAAAAAATAAATAAATCAATATTTTGCATATTTTGACATAGACCCAACTTGCAGATATTCCATAGCAGACAGGAAAAATAGGTCAGGGTACTCATTTTGGTGAATATGTATAGTAATTTCAGGAGAAAGATTACCACCCATACTTACATACATACATACATCTACTGCTACAGATATACTACCAATCATTCTAACAAACCTGTCTTACTGTAATGTCGTAAGTTATCAACTGCAATTACTGCTTGGGCATTGTGATGCTCTAACAGAGTGCATGACTTTACTTCATCACAATTCTGTACAATGATGTCACAGCAAAATCCAACAGACACACTATTCCTTGCAGGACTGTCTTTTTTCCTTTCCATCTTTCAGGTTTACTAGGACCTAAACAGTAACTATAGAAGATGTCCCTTCCCCTTCCCATTCCCCTTTCCCTCCCCCTTACCTTCCCCCTCGCCCTCCTCCTTGCCCTTCCCTTCCCTCCTTTTCTTTTTTGTTTATGGTTGCTTTGACACAGTAGTAGTCTTATTCTGTATTCCCTGGTTTCCAGACTAAGTAGAAATGATAGAATCATAGGGGTTGGGAAGGGACCTCTGGAGATCACTGAGTGCAACTCTCCTGCTAAAACACTGTTCCCTGCAATAGGTTGCACAGGAAAGCTTCCAGGAGTGTCTTAAGTATCTCCAGAGGGGACTCCACAGATTCTTTGGACAGCTTGTTCCAGTGCTATGTTACCCTTCACAGTAAGTCTTCCATCCTTTTCTGCAGGCTGAACAGTCCTGAGTCTCTCAGTTTTCCCTCCTAAGAGAGATGCTCCAGGCTACAACTCATCTTTGTAACCCTCTCCTGAATTCTCTCTAGAAATTCCCTACCTGGACATAGTATTCCAGATGTTGCCACACCAGGACAGAGAATAAAAAGGGGAGGATCACCTCCCTTGACCTGCTGATGATACACTTCTTAATGCACACAAATGCATTATCAGACATGCAAAACGAATGTGCGGAGATGGTCATACAATATCAAAGACAGAGCAAGAAGATTATATGTAAAATTATGCCTTCTGAAGGTTGGTACTTTTCCTTATTGCCTTTTTCCCTCCTGCTGCTGCCTCAAGGGCATGACTGAAAAACTGGGAAGTGAACGTCAAAGCTTGCAAACAGCAGAAATACGTCTCAGTGGCTTGAAACAAAATCCATTAGACTCTTAATATCACCTGTGAGGTAAGGGAAGAAGAAAGAGAGTATCTGTGCTCCAGCAGTAACATAATCACAGTTTTGAAAATATTACCCAGGATAGTCATGTACCTACTGTTTTGGCCTTGCAACTCACTGTGTGCTTTCCCAGACATTTACTGCACTGGCTTCCAGCCACACACCTTCAAAAGTGCACTGGCTGGGACTGAAGCAATTTCACCTTCAGCATAATCTCTGCCACTCCAGAATCTGTTCTACAGCAACTTACCATGAATTTTCTCATGTAAACACAGAAGATACAGAAAAGTTACCATCCATCTCAGAAACCAAACAGCATTTAACAATACATATCACAAAAATGGAATTGGATACCATGTAAAAATCACATTTTTCAAATAGTTTTTGCATCAGACAGCAGTAGCCTTTCCTGTTAGACAAGTTGAAAGAAAAAGATTCTCCACATAATGACTTGCTCTAATACTTTTCTGTCAAAACATTTCTCTGAGCTTCTTCACCTTGTCCTGTGCAGTTAAAATGCATGTTACAAAATACTTCTATTAACTAGTTCCTTCCCACAGCTATATTCCCTATGGTCCATCCTTATGGTATTCTGCAAGCAGAAAATTTTCCAATCACAGCTGAAGAAGTATCATCAGAATAGTTTATCTAAAAGCACAAACTGGATTGACGAATAGCTCAAGGAGTACAAAATTGTTCTGATACAGATGATCAAGTTCAAGTCCCAAGGTTTTTAAACCTACCACAATGGACTGAGATTAAAAATGTATCTCCTCGTAATATCCTTTCCACAAAGTCTGTGTTGATAAAGAACATGAATGGTCTCTTTGTTAGAAATCAATTTTCTGTAAAATTGACCTGTCCCACTGCCCCATTGCATATGGGATCAGTCCAAAACAGATGGGAATAGTCAAAACAGGTGTTAATCACCATTCTGCCTGTAAACAAACAGACCTTATCTATAGTATACTTATATCGTAACTATTTTTCACACAACATAAAGATCAAATAATTTTTAAGGAAGCTCTTAGCTAAACTTCTTTTGGAATTGTTCCTGTTTCTCCAGAGACTGGCTGTTCTGGAAGACTTCTTCCCGTTATACACGTGTTTTTCTGTGTAAAGCAACCAGCAACTCTGAGTCATAGCTAGCAGTCTGTTGTGAAGCTATGCAATCTAGTTGTTTTCTCTCAGCAGGGCTGAGGTTTAGCAGCCTAACTTCAACACTGAGGTTTAGTTAAGCATGGGTAATTTTATGACATAATTACTTTACTGCTAAGAGTACCTGGGCTCTTAGCAGTACTGCTACCTGGGTAACACGTCGCCATTTCTAAGCTTGGTACAATGAACATTTGGAAATGCTGTCACAATTTCAAAAGCTAAGAGCTTTCAAAGTTTAACTGGAATACAGCTTTTTGCTTTTGAAGCTGTGACAGTACTTCCTAATGTATATTTAGATTTATTTCAGAAATCTGAGCTGTGCTGTAAAATTTTACCTTTAATTAACATAGGCTTTAAACATTCATTCCGGTAACTACTCATCTCACCTTTGTACATCTCATTTTTTGGATCAGTGGGTCCCCATATTTAGCATAACTTTTATCTGGAGAGTTTCCAGCTTTCTATTCTGCAGGTAACAGTGGGAAGCAAGGCAAGAAATTATTCTTTGCCCAGAGACTTTTTTTCTGCAATAATTTGAAAAATAAAAAATAGTTGAAGAACATTAATTAGCTTTTTCCTGAATTACTTGGGATTTGCTGCAAAAAAGTTTTGGAAGGTACTAAGTGGTAAAAATGGCCCAACCTCCAACACTTCTCTAAACTGTTCTTTCCACATAACACTTCAAAATAGCCACTTATCATTTGAAGTGCCATCTTACAGGTCTGAGAAAATCTTCATTGGTTTCTGAAGAGGAAGAAAACCTTGTTCAGGACAAAGTATTTTCAAAATATGCTTAGATAGGTTGTAAAAAAAGAAAGGCATACAGTACAAAAATGATGTGTGGCCTCCAGTAGTTCATAAAGCACTGTTCAAATATATTATATTAAAAAAAATATATATATCAAAGTTTTTGTTCAGTTCAATGAAAACTTTTCGTATTATAGAGGTCATACCCACTTCAGTGGCACTGGATAGAATTTTTAAGATCATTGTAGCACAGTCACTGGTACTTGCTCTATAAGAATATCACCTTCTAACACAGTTTTGTTTTATTCCACACTGAGTATAATATGAAATCAAGCATAAACCTCTTTCCTTCTGTAAAGAGCTCAGTATTAACTTCATCAGGTTTGCACTGAATCTATCAAAAACTTTTTATTGGGTAAGAATTTACATTCTGATAGGAACTTCCAGCACCTGTCAATCCAAAAAGTGGTCATCCACTATAATCCCTCTTTTAAAATGATGCAGGTGCACAAAATGTGTCATCTCATGCACAGCAGTAATGCATCTTCAAAAAGAACACAGGTCTAAACAGCCTGAAATAATTTTATTGTTTACATGAAGTAAGGTTGAGTACCTCTGCACTGGTTTTCCTGGTGCCAGAATAAGTACAGGGGAAGACACTTTTTATCAAATTTTTGCAATGTTTTCTGATATCTCATTTTGGAAAGTTTGCAGATAAGCTTCTTATCTTATTGCTTTACTAAGGTTGGAAAATCCAGTGCCAACACATGTCATTAAGACTTTCTCCCCGCCCTTGCATTCTTCTTCAGGGGACTTCATTTCAATTTTAAACATGATCTGGAAGAAGCTTCTCAGGTGTCGCAGAAACTCAATTCTGAGGAAGAGAAAACAACAGAATTTAAGAAACAAAACAAAAAGCACAACAGCAGTAACTACTAATGTCAATTCCAATGAGCACAATAAGCATAAGAATATTGCTCTGTACAGAGAAACAAGCCCACAGGCTCCAAAATTTTTTCTCACTTGCACTGCTGCTAGTGACCCCTACTGAAAACACCATGTACTCTGTATAGGAGAGTATAGTAATCTGTATAGTAATCTGCAGAGAGGGACAGAATGCCTGGTAACAGCAAGACAAAATGCCTGGTAACAGCAAGACAAAAAAGACAAAATAAGGAAAGAAAACGAGGAGAGAAAGAACAGGCGTACACAGGCAAGGTCACTTAGTCACAACACTGACTGTACATTAGGGTCCTAAGAACACCGTACCGACCTGCAGTAAAATATCTCTCCCAAAGTTTAAAGCAGAAACAAAAAATTAAATAGAGATAGCTAAGAGTTTGGCCTTGGGGACATACTTTTAGGCTTCATAGTGAGGTGACTGATGCTCTGTGCCTGTTGATGTTCAAGAGGCGTTTGGATAATGCCCTTTCACTTTTGGTTTGCCCTGAAGTGATCAGGCAGTTGGACTGACAATCTCTGTGAGTCCCTTCCAACTGAACTAATCTATCCTATTTTCTCCTGATTTTCAAGAGCAGGAAGCAATTTCCTGTAATTTCAGAATGAGAGGCATGAAGAGACTAAGTAGGCACAGTTCAGATTTTTTTCTGTCAGAGCAGAGTCTGACAGAAAAAAAATATCAACACTCCTAAGAAAAAAAAAATACAACAAAACAAAACCTAACTGAACCAAACAAAATAAAAATCCAAGAAAACACTCTGACTTTAGACTAAGATTAGCCTTTGAAGAAAAAGAATGTGCACATCCAGTCCACACATCTATATAGTTGGCAAACTGCAAAAAGCTTCTGCTTTACATGCTAACAGCATAATCACAAGCTGATCACTTACATCATGACATCAGATCAAGAAAAAGTACCCACAAAATGGGAAGCAGGAGACCAAGGGCAGAGGACAGTCCCCAGAGCAACATCACACAGCTCCTGGCACCTTCTATACATAGAAATCCAGGAGCCTCTAAACACAGAGCACAGTAGGTGCTGCAGAATCAGGAACTGTGTTACCCACTTGAGTTCTACTCTTGCACATAGATGTATGTGCGGGAGAAGAGAGAAACAGCAGGAGCCAGGCAAACAGAGGCTAGTGTCACTGACACTGGTCTGTGCTTGGTGATTTGCTGCTGAAGCAATCAGCTGAATACCTCTGTAGGGTGAATGTGGGCAGGTGGATCCCCCTGCTATGTACAAGTTCTCACTCCATCCTGCTGGGCTAGTGACCAGCTTTCACATAAGCACTAGCTCTCACATCTCCTGAATGTGTTAACAGTTTTAAGGAATAAATGAAAACTGCCTTTTCTTCCATGCCTCCTCAACTCCAAAGGGAGGCTGTAAGTAGGCAAATGGGCATACACTGGCAAAAATGCGTCAGCAAAGCTGACAGGCAACAAGCTCTGTATCAGCCTCCTCGCTAGCTGGGCCCATTCCCAGAGCTCTGGCAGTGTGACAAGCAAACAGACAAGCCCAAAACAGCAGGAACACAGAACTGAACAGCAAGGATACAGAATAAACTGCATAAGTGCCAAGGGCAGCACAGAAGCGGAGGACCTCTCTTCCTACGTTTATAGACTATTGTTGCTCTGCCTCTTACTTCTGGATAGAGTGAAAAAGCAAAAGCCCCCGGGTAAATAAAATAGGCTTAAAGGAATGGGAGAGGGGGAGGCTGCATGGAGATCAGACAGGAGAATTTGTAAGCAGTGGGAAACATGAGGAAAAACAGGAGAAAAAGAGGGGGAAGAAACAGATGACAAAATGAAGCAGAAAGTAGGCTGCTATTAGCTTGAGGCTGATAAAGGTGTGGGCAGGTCTACATCCTGAATAATAGGCAGCTGCATCAAACACACATGAGCCAAATGGAGGAGTGACAGAGGGAGTGAGCAGTATAGCAGTTTTATCTTGTTGGAGTCTTTATTCTGTTAAGCTGAAGGACAGTTAACAGAACCATACCGGAGATCTTCCTCAGTGCCAGACTCCTTGGAATTAACAACCACCGTACTACAATTACATATATATAGAAAAGTAAGCTTGCAGAAGTGCTCTCTTATCCCAGAAGCCTACTGAGCAGCATAATCACTTCATGTGTTCTAGCTTGCTGTCAGGGCACAGTGACCAGCTCGTTAATCACCACTTGAGAAGACCTGGCTGCCAACAAGGCCTGCTTTGTTCCTTTACCACAAACACATAGCAGCGCATGTGAGAGCTCACACATGGCACACATCAGCGACACGACACGAGAGTGTCAGAGCAGACCCTGCAGGGCCTGGCCTGAGGCCTCTGCTCTCTTGGAGCGTCTGGTCCCAGCCAATGGAGAGGGAGGGGGCAGGAGGGAGTAGAGGAGACCCCAGCCCGCCCCGAGGAGGGCGACAAAAAAGTGAAACAGCACGGGTTGCAGCCGCCCCTTCCCCTCTAGCTGACGCTTGCAGAGCGCTGTGCAGGCAGCTCTGGGTCAGCTCAACGCGGTGGTGGGCAGCGCTCGCGAGCAGACCTAGCCCAGCCGAGGGGCCACAGCGGGAGGTGGCTGTCACCTGTTTGCTGCCAGGTGAGCCCTCCCTTGGGCCGCGGCTGCTTTTCTTCCTCCCTGTCTCACTGCCTGTGCCCAGCTGTCTGGTTTTTCCACGCTAGTTTGGTGCCCTGCACACCACAGCTTGCGAGCAGTTCTCAGATGCAGTTTGTGGGGACTTTCATGCTGAAGCACATGTGCCTTTTTCCTCCCTGAGGCTTTACAAGCTGGCAGCAGTGCTTTCCCATTGCTGTCCTCTGTGTGCACCCTGGTCTACACACATTCATCTGCATGCAGACCAGACCAAACTGCAAAGCCCTCATTTCTTGCCAGATTTAAGATTTGTTACCATGTACCCTTGGTGAGATAGCAACACCATGAGCACTCAGAATTATGAGCAGCTCAACAGACAAGCACTGTGAAATCTGCAATATAATGCAAGAGGCTGGTGATCCTCCCCTGGGCAGCCCTGTTCCTAGCATAGCTTCCACATTAGCAATGGCTCTGAGGGAAATACACAAACGTGGAAGATATCTCCTTGTTCTGGTGGGTGTATTCCAGAGCGTCATATCCCCCTAACAGAGTTTTAATTCACCAGCTGAACTGTCACATTTAGGCTACGTTGTGCTAGACAGGGAACTCAACTATATATGTCTTACAAATAGCTTTGGAACCTGCAAGGTTTAAGTGTTAAATGCCGAGCCATCATAGCTCTGACAAAGGGAAGAAGAGATTAGGACGACAGCAGCATAATTCAATTCAAAAACTTGTGCATTTGATGAGCTGCTTGAGGGCCAGGTTTCCCAACCCTTTACCAGCTGCCTTAGTGAGGGCATGAGGGTGCTCCAGAGTTGCATCATTTCTTGTGGCACATGATGCTCCAGAATGTCTGCTGCTGACCTTCATCTCTGCCATGCACTCCTAGCCTGGCGGAAGTGACAATCCACCCATTTGAAATCAGTCTGCTCACAAAATAAAGTGGTGTGCTCACACAACTTGTATCAAGGAGAAAAAAAAAAGGCTGAATGATGCAAGTCATCACTCTGTTTCACATGCTTAATTATGTACTCTTTTAATGCCTTTCACTTGGATACTTACTTCACACAGGATTACTTCACTCCTGTGCAAAAGGAGGCTTACCTGCTCCCTCGCCCCCTCCCCAAAAAAATCTGATGAATGTTGTTACCCAGGTCTAAGAGACTGGGTATTTAAATTGAAGTTAGGCAATTTCTAGATCTCATGTGATGGCACCACCATTCTTCAGTTATCACAGTACTGTACCTTTCACGTATACAGCACCGGTACCATGATAACCGAAAAAGGACAGTTCATAGTCTTATTGTTTGATGCCATTGTCAAATAAGCTACCTTTCTCTCATCTTGCTTAATGGAAAACTGCCCAGTTTCTATGAATAGCTATGACCAAGTCAGTCTTCTAGAATAAACGAAATTTTTGGTATTGGATGTCTCTTACCTACCCCGTCTTTCAACTAACTGTGAGAAATTTATTCCTCCGAATCATTACTAGCGACAGACAAATCTTTAATAAAATTCAAGATTAAAGGGCATCACAGAAGTCCACTACCTGACAGGACTAATGCTTTAGGGCTGCACATAGCTCCAGAAATTGAACTCTTGAGCTGTCTCCTTGAGACAGTTACAGCTTTAGCATTTGGCAAGCCATTCAAAACAGGCCATTTAATGTTCCAGCTACAGAGAAATCACTAGGAAAACAAGGTAGTGTATGCTAGGCAACAAAAGGTAACTGATGTACACATACAAGACCAAGAATCCACAATAAACTTCATCTCTGGAATTTTAATTGCTTCAGAATCAGGAAGAATACAAAACGGTAAGGAAATAACATTTTAATCTGTGTTTACACTGGGTAACTTACACTGCCTGTCTCATTTTAAGACAAATACAAGTTGTTCTACTCACAGCCACAGACAACATCTTTCATACAGAAAAAACAGCTGTGTGATATAGAACTAAAAAAGACTAAGTAAATACAATGAGAAAAAAATGAAAATAAAAAACAACTTACGTGTATGGAGACAGGGGTCCTAACAGGACTTTGGAAACATCTTGTTGTCCAAGGGTCATGAGCAGCAGAGCAAGGCTCTGGTTTGTTGAATCAACACAACCTCCCTGTAAACCAAAATGTTTTAATAATTAATCTCTATACAAACCAGAAATTGAGATGGAAGGAGAGAGTAACAGAAAGGAAAAATATACTCAAAACGTTGAATTACCGCTCTCAGTTTTCAAGGGTTGAAAATATAAAAATCTAGATTTTGTAACAATAACAAATTCATTTCACCTGTCAGGCTGGGAAAGAAATATAGCTAAACCAAAACCCAGCAACAATGGCAAAACAAAGAACTCTCTCATCTCTCCCTGTTCTGTTCAAGCATTACAAAACTGAAGCAGGTTTCTGAACTTTAGTAGACAACTTTTAAGCAAAAGGATGACATGAACTTCTGCATTTCACTTGTTGCAGATCCAAAGCCTCAATGCAGTCTGTGAATACTGTCTTACTGAATTAAAACTAATCCTAAGCCCACTGAACATGTTGTCTGGAGAAAGCAAAACTACAGAGACTGCTAACTGGCAGTCAGCTTTGTGAGCAAAGCACAAACTTAATTTTTTAAGAAATATAACTATTCAAAAAAGGAAATTATTTTGAATTTGGAATTCCAAATAAATTTTGGAATTGACTAAGAAAACACAATGATGTGACAACTTGAACACAGTAAAAAGGCAGAAAAAAGGACTATTCCAGTGAGAGATGCTGATAGCAATTTTCAAGATGGTTTTACTTCAGTATGACAAGTCTCACTGTTCTTTGAAAATAAAATTCAACACTTTGAATCACACAGTTGTTGATATAAAAAAGGGTTGTAAAAGTCCTTTAAGATCTTTCTTATCTCTCAGCTAAACCTCTACTGTTGCAACTTAAGGATGTTCCCTTATGTTCTAGTAGTTGTCACTTAAGAAAAGAGACGAGCACCAACTTCACAGCAGCCTTCTCTCAGATAGCTGCAGAGTGATAAAGTCCCTCCAGCTTCTTCATATCCAAACTCAACAACCCCAGTTTTGTCAGCCGTTCCTCGTATGTCTTGTTTTCTAGTCCCTGCACCAGCTTAGTTACCTTTCTCTGAACGCATTCCAATGACTTGACATCCTTCTTTTAATGAGGGACCCAAAACCAAACAATGAACTAACGGCTCAGTCTCCCCTGTGCTGTGTACAAGGGAACACTCACCTCACAGAATGCCCTGGGTTGGAAGGGATCTTCAAGATCCAACCTTGCAGAGGACAGGGCTGCCACTCATTAGATCAGATTGCCCAGGGCCCCACACAGCCTGGCCTTGAATGCCTTTAGGAATGGGGCATCCACAGCTTCTCTGGGCAGCTTGTATCAATGCCTCTCCACCCTCTGAGTGAAGAATCTCCTAACACCTAATCTAAATCTCTCCTCTTTCATTTTAAAGACATTCCCCCCCTTTGTCTATCACGATCAGACTGCAGGCCAGACTGCCATTGGCCTTCTTAACTTTCAGCAGTGTACACTGCTGGCTCATATTTTTCTCTGCAGGCAGACAGCTCTGGTGCAGTTGCATTCCACACTAAAGCAAGGAACTGACTGTGCCTATTCAGGACAACTGAATTCCTGTCAGGGAGAAGCTGCCAGACACAACTGCCTCCCATGTAGCCATGTAGCAGCAGCTGTGGGGGCAGGGCCAAGAGCAGCAGCATCATACCCTGAAATTAGAAAAGCAGCCTGCAGGGAGCACAGCTCCCAGGAGTGCTGAAAGCAGTGGGCAAACAGAGCATGGTGCAGCAGTTAACACAGGCAGGGCAGACTACTCCTCCCCAGTCAGGGGATTGGCTCGCCTATCAGCTGCCTCTCAGACAACAAATCTTGCGCCACTACACAGAAAGCTCCTGCCTAAGAGAATGCGGCTACCCAGACTGAGTGCCTGCCCAGAAAATATGTCTGTTCTGGTCTCTGGTTGCAGGGAGCGCCTGAGCCTGCTGCTGCACCCGCAGGGTGGCAAAGATACCACCTGTGTGAGGCGTGAGCCTATGGGTGATCTGCTCAGCATAGGGGCAGAAGCCCAAGGAGGAGGTGGAGAGATTGAAGAGCATCAGGGAGCGTAAACAGGATACAGACTCCCTAGTCCAGTTCACCCCTCTGATTATTACTCCTTACTGATAGTTCAGGCTGGCAACAATGAAGTCACTGAGAGCCTGAGAGCTGTCAAAAGTGACTTCAGGGGGGAGAGGCAGTTTAGTAGACAGAGTAGGAGTAGAGGTGGTGTCTTCCTGTATGCCGTCAGCGGCAAGGAGGAAACCAGGAAAGGACCAGGAAAATCCACCTGATAAATACATGGCTGAGAGGTTGGTAACACCACAGGAATTTTGGCTTTTTTGACCATGAGGCGGTTTACTCTGTACCTGACCTGATGGCTCCTGATGATGTCCACCTAGGTCACGAGGAAAAGAATTCTGTCCCAAGGTCTGGCTGTGCTCATGGACAGGGCTTTTAATGTGATTTGAAGAGAGAAAGGGGTAATGGCGAAGAAAGAGGTAGACCAACATTTTACACAGTCTGATAGCGATAGGACAAGGTAGAATGGCTTTAACTGTAAGAGGCTAGATTTAGGTTAGATGTTAGGAAGAAATGTTTTACTTAAGAAGATGTTGAGGCACTGGAAGAGGCTGTCCAGAGAGGCTGTGGATGCTCTGTCTCTGGTGGTGTTCAAGATAGGTTGGATGGGATCCTTAGCAGCCTGGTCTATTGGTTGGCAAACCTGTCAGGGCAGTTGAAACTGGATGACCTTTTAAGTTCCCTTGTACCTATGCCATTTTATGATTCCGTGTTCAGTTGGCTGCCAACCTCTAGGTTCTCTTCTATTGCTTTCATAGTCTCCATTGCTGCAACGAGTTAGCCATCCCTACTATTATGCATTAGCAATGCATCGCCACATGACCATTCCCATGTAAGCAATTATCACACAGGGAAATTAAGTGATTTTCTTGTAATCTAATGCTGACAGAACAGTAACATGTCAAATGAAACAGATATAACAAATACCACAAATGAAACAAATAACAAATACCACTCCTAATGAGGCCATCTTTTAGCTCTCAATCTGCTGTTTACTTGAGTTCAAAAAAAAACAAACAAAAAAACCCCCCAAAACAACAAACCCAAAGCAAAAACACTACCACTAGAAATGGGATAGACAAAGTCAGAATCGAAGTACTGACCTTATTCCAAAACTGCTGGCACTCATTACAAACCTAGGATGCAGCTACTAGCTCGTTAATTCAGTTTATGGCAGGTTCTCCATTATTGTTGGAGACAACAGAATCAGATCCAAGATATAATTAGAGACATATACATAAATGCAGAAATGCTGCAGCATAAGTATCACTGTCTACATGCAGAAGCACAAACAACTGAATCATTGATAGAAGTGTGTTTGAGGAGGATTATTCTTCCAAGCTTATAGTACTGGTAACACTATAAGATAAGGTTGTTTTTTTTCTCTTACACATAAGGTACATACATACATGCTTTAATCAACCCTGAGGTGTATTATTTGTTAGGTGAGGTGCAGAACCATTTTTAGAAAGAAGCTGAGACTTGTCACATCGAAGTATGACTGTCTTGAAAATTAGCATTTAGTTAAACATTTCATTGATATTAGCTCTAGCTGCATAAAACAACAACCTTACCCCTTCTGCCCTCCCAAGCTCCCATAGCAATTCAACCTTTCCTCAAAGAAGAGCTCAGAGTTCAACTGCTTCTACATCTAGCCCTATTTCTCCTGATCACAAGTTATACAGGCATTCAACTGTCTTCTAGCTTTTCCTGGCCTCTCAAGGCAAGAAAGGAGGCCTTCTTTATTGATCTTCTACAATTAAACTTGGGTAAGAAATACACACAGATCTGTAAAGACAATGCTAGCCATTCCATGTTCCTCCTTCAGGTCTGTTGTAATTAGCAATGTGCCACTTACTGTTAGTCAATTGGCTCTGAAATCCTTTCATCTACAAAGGTATATTACAAAAGCAAGAATCATATATGCCCTTTTCAACTTCTTTTTTAATGCTTAGCAAAAGGAGCAATTTAGCACCTCACATAGCAAAGCTCAAATCCTTAGGTTTCCTACATGGTAAAGTTCACATAATAGCAAGCATTAAGCAAGCACATTAAGAGATGCCTCTGAGCCCTTTTAAGCAGGACTGAATTCCAACAGTTTTGTGAGTGATTCTGACAACTAGAATCCTCTGCAGAGAATCATCTTCATTACTACTGGGATGCCCTTTTCTGATAAGCCTTCTAGCCCCCAGAGTGTCTACAGGCAAAGACACAGCTGGAGCAACAGTCTCATTCAGTTCACATGCAATCTAAGCAAAGAAAGGGAGAGCAGTTTTCCCTCAAGCATTCAGAGAGTACCATTGTAAAGAGAATGGGACTTAAGGACTGTCTGTTCACAGCAGCCTGTTCTCCCATGCATTTTCCTCCAACTTCACTGTTTTACCATACGCTATCTATGCAACACAAAGCAAACAAAAGAAATCCCCAAACAGTATCCTAAAACAAGCAAACACAGCACACTTTGCAATGAGTGGGGTCAACACTGGATCAAACTGACTCAAGCTTGGAAAAAAAAAAAGAAAATAGAATAAAATGAATGAGCAATCCCAATTTTTCTAATTCCTGGCTAACACTCTGTTAGAGTGTGTATCATACACAAAGTCATAAGTTCAAGTTATATTTTGAAAATTACAAAATGAACCCCACAATATTGCTTATGACAGGCAGCAGGGATTTCATGAGTACTGAGTAAGATCTAAACAGTCCAGTAGATAAGCAGTACAATAGCCCTTAAAGGATAACAGAAGAGAACTTTTTCACCATGAGATGCTGCAGTGGAGGACAACAAACAGTCCACAAACTGTTCAGCAGTTGTCACTTACTTCTGTAATGGCCCACACAGCATAGAGCCTCCCAGAATGCCAACTGTTCCATAGCAGGGCACAGCTAACCTCATTCACTGAGAATCTAATTTTCAAGGACACTGAAACCTCATGCCCCATCACTTCACTGTGCAAAGACCTGCCTGACCCTGTTTGTGCCTCAAACACCTTTTCCTAATTGACTACACTACCTAAAACAGAATCACACTAATGGCATTTTTAGTACTTTGTAAAGCCCTATCTCTTTATTCTAGTTCAGAGCAATTACATTTTTTTGGGGTATCATTTGTAGATGGCTGCCTCCTAAAAACTATATCTGGTTTGTTGGTACTAACAGCTGCTTACTTTGACATCTATGGCAATACACAACAAAAGCAGATATGTTCTTTGTTGGATCAGAAACTCACTAATTGCTAATTCTGACTGAGTGCCAGGCATCCACTAGAAGTCTTGCCACAGATGAAAACAAACACTGTAATAAAAAAAAAATCATGCTGTGGGAAACTGTGATGCAGATAAGACTCCTAAGCCAATACTATCTTAGTTTCAACAAACCATTCTGTTCCTTATATCACAAACAGACCTCAGCACATTTGAACTTCGTTATTGCTGCAATAAAATGGCCAGCATTGAAACCAGCTGCTTTTTTCCCCCCCTTTCCTTCCTCTTTCTCACATTTTCTCCCACTCACAATACTTCAATTCCACCACTAGCTCAATAGCTCTCTTCTATGGTTAAAAGTGAAAAAAACCACACGAAGCAAACTGAATTCTATTGCAAACAGAAGGCAATGAAAACAAAATTTTTTTCTGCTATGATCCACAGTAAAATAACATGGACACAGGAAATAACATGACAGAGTAAGTCATTATATCATTAAATGAAGCATTTATAAAGCACTCCCACTGGTATCAAGAATGCATTGGCACCATTGGAAGATTTTTCTGCCTGGATCTCAGCCTGAGCGAATCCTGAAATCACCTATTCCTTCAGCAATATATAACTGCCTTCTTCCCTTTCAGCTGTACATGCAAAACACGTTGGCCACTTACCCTGTATATCTCCTCAAGCAACAGCTTAGCACAATTCTGTCCAAGTTCCTCAGGAAGCACAGCTGCTCCCTGGCCCTGAGGGTTTGAGGCTAACTCAGCACTGAGAATAGTGCCATTGATGGTTTCTGCAATAAGGCATATGCCAAAACCTGGAGATCTGAAAGAAAAACACATTGGATATAACAACAAAATTAAATAACAAACCAAGAAGAAATATCAAGGTTGTCCTCAAGTTGCGAAGAGCTCCACTCATTGGACATTATGAGGAATCCGAACTTGCCGACAAAATTCCCATTCTAGACTTTTCATCTGCCTTTGAAAAAACATTAACAGTATCTAAAAGCTAAATCTAGTATCACTAGTCCCAGATAGACTGTGCTGGATATTTCTGGCTCAAACTCTTAAAAAAAAAAAAAAAGAAAAGAAAAAAAAAAGAAAAGAAAGAAAAAGAAAGAAATTAAAGCCAATGCAGAAATAGCATTTTCTATTAAAAACTTTCTATTAAAAAAAAAAAAATCTCATTTACTAATTAATCTTTGAAATTTTCTGAAGTACCTTAAGTTTCTTCTCTGTAAGATTCAAGTATAAAACTAACTTTCTTTAGCGATCCACCTTTTAGCATGGAAGCTTCAATATACAGAAAGAATAGCTACAGTACCAGCGAATTAAAAAAAAAAAAAATTACAATACTTGCATTTCATAGAGACATAGAATCACAGAATTGCTTGGTTTGGAATGGACCTTGTAGCTCATCCAGTTCCAACTAGCAGTGGTGACAGCGGTATGAAAGACAAGTCACATTCTGGATGCCCATGCACAGCTGTCATACCACAAAATAAAATGCACTGATCAAATAAACTGCATAAGCTGGTTAATGGTAGTGACTACGTTGCAAACTACTGCTTTGTAGCTGAGAATCTGCTCTGTCAAATAGTGTTATTGTGCTCTTTGTATCTATTGCAGTTTCCTTGTAAGTAAATAGGAGGCATCACTTTGGAGCAACCTATGCATTTTTCTCAGAGCTTAGCATCCTAAAAAAATGCTTTTATCAGTGTTAAAAAATACTTTTGCTAAAAGAAAGTAACAGTAGTGTACAGCTGAGAAGTCAGAAATTTGTAACTAGAAAAAAAAATAGTGTAAGATCCTTGTATTTTTATGTTCTGGAAGAACACCAACAGCTAGCCGTTCAAAATAAGGTTGACTTTTCTCTACATACAGCATTTCCCACAGTTATGGACTCATACTGCCTCCGATACCCAAACTTTTTTATAAAAAAAACTCCATTCACCCAAAATGGTAAGGAACATCACCAATATCAACAAACCACAAAAACAAAGCCTAAATGCCAGTACAGACAAACTGTCCCAGTGTCAGAAAAGAACAGTTCTGCCAGATGCATTTAAGTAGGAAGGGAATGAACAGATACTGGAGGTTCCCACCCATATTTAACTAGTGGTACTTGCTCAGCAACACAGAAGTTATGCTAAAGATGTTTTTCTCTTCCTCCTTTCCTCTGAAAGAAAGATTTAGACACCAAGAGTCAAAAGACGTTGCTTCTTAGGGGCTATAATTTGGACAGTAATAATAACTATATCCCGTGGCAGATTTGTTAGCCTTCAGTAGCATGTGATATAAACTGCCAAAACAAAATCATCTAGTGTCTTGTGCATGTGCAAACAGTGTTAGGAAACATCTGCAAAGATGAACACTCTGTTGTAAATTCAGAAAATTCAGAAAGTTTTTGTTCAGAGAGACATCACAGATGTCAGAAAATGCTCAAATCTACTTCCTGAAGCTCTGGCACTGTGCGAGGGACGGGGTACAACACCCTACATTCGGAAATCAGGGCTTTGTCTAGCCTGGGCAAATGAGTGCTGAAATAGTCCTCGCTGTTTTAACTCTTCATTGAACAGAGACCGCAATGGAAATTAGATGCATTGCTTTCCTTCCTTATCCTGTCTACACATGTAGAAGCAATAGGAAGCTAGTAAGACAAAAAGCTTTGCCAAAATGGGACTGTGCTGGCACCATACTTATGCTGAATATGGTAGCAAAGCAGCAGTAGAGATTAACATGCACCAGCAGTGTGAAAAGGGGAACTCACCTTTTCTTCCCACGCGATTATTTATTTTTCTACACGGGCTAATCATGGAAGCAGAAAATACACTGGTGCTGCCTTAATTCACCTGAATTTTCCACATTATTGGTAGATATGAAAAAAACAATCACACAACCCAAAACCACAACAACAACAAAAACTTACACCCTCAGAAAAAAAGGTTTCAAAATTTTCATTATTGTTAACTATCTGCACCAACAAGACTTACTAAAATGGAATATTAAATATGATAGAGAAATCAGCAAAGACACTCTAGAATTAGTTAACAATTTTCAGATGTGTAGACTCATGAAGCTAACAAGTTATCTCAAAGATGGTATTTCCAAGAACAGAAACAATAAAAAAAAAAAGCATGCACGCTGGGAACTGAATATACAGGAAGATGACATACAAATTAATTATCCCCATCTCCAACTTCAAAGAAGTGACAAGCAGATAGTGTTACTGACTAATGTCAATAAAATTGTCTGAATCATGAGCATCACTTCTGTGTTCTGCTGGCCAGCAAATCTCTAAGGAAATCTGAAACATTAGTATGCTGTTGAGAGAACAGCTTATGTCACAGTAAAGCAGAGAATAACATAGTTTAGAAAACATTCAGGTTCCAACCTTAGTATTACCATTTCCATCAGATAGTCTAGAGTAAAATTCAAACACTAGTTTTCATATCACATCAGTGCATTCTGCACTCACTTCTGTGATTCTGTAAGCAGGCTTAAAACAGAATAGAGCTCAGGTTACCTTTAGTGGCAGTAATGATAAATTACATTGTTAGTTTAAGAAAAATATAGTATTTCTATCACAGCATTGAGTAAAACTCAATCTCTAAGGAAATTTGAAACATTAGTTTGCTGTTGAGAGAACAGTTGTTTATGTCACAGTAAAGCAGAGAATAACATAGTTTAGAAAACATTCAGGTTCCAACCTTAGTACTACCATTTCCATCAGATAGTCTAGAGTAAAATTCAAACATTAGTTTTCATATCACATCAGTGCATTCTGCACTCACTTCTGTGATTCTGTAAACAGGCTTAAAACAGAATAGAGCTCAGGTTACCTTTAGTGGCAGTAATGATAAATTACATTGTTAGTTTAAGAAAAATACAGTATTTCTATCACAGCATTGAGTAAAAATAGTGATTCATTCCTTTTTTTTTTTTTTTCTATACGGAATATTTATTTAATGTCAGAAATAGAAAATAATGGCTTACAGCTCAGTAAAATTACAGATCAGAATACGCTAGCAGGCAAAAAAATATATACACCTACATTTCTTGTTCCTGTAAATACTGGGTACTCACTTTCCAGAGCTGACCCCTTTCATATGGTCTGTGTAGATATAAATATCTGGAAGGAATTTATTCAAGACACTCCTTGCAGATTCCACCATTCTGTTTGCCATCTGTGGAGACACTCTGACAGAATATCTGTATTTCTGAGCTAAGGAACTGTGATAATGAAAAATAATTAAGAGACTGGCAAAAATAGTCAAGAAGTCCCAATGCATTCTTTCAAAAAATGTAGTTTTGTCCTACATGTAGAATCCTTAAGAGTTGGAAGGAACCTTTAAAGGTCATGTAGTCCAACTTCCCCGCAGTGAACAAGGACATGTACTGCTAGGTTAGATTGCTCAGAGACAGGTCCAGCCTGGTCTTAAATGTCTCCAGGGATTGGGCTTCCCTGACATCTCTGGTTAACCTGTTCAGTCCCTCTTCACTCTCACTGCAAAATACTTTTTCCTTATATCCAATCCAAAACTCCCCTCTTTTAGTACGAAATCATTCCCCCTTGTCCTAATACCACTGACAATGCTGAAGAGTCTGTCCCTTTCTTTCCTCTAGCTCACCTTTAGATACTGAAAGGCTGCTATCAGAGCCTTTTCTTCTTCAGGCTGAATAGCCCCAGCTCTCTCAATCTGTCCTCACAGGGAAGGTGTTCCATTCCTTCCGTCATTTCTCGGGCTTTTCTCTGGAGGCTCTCCAACAGGTTCACGTCCCTCCTGCACTGAGGACTCCAAATCTGGGCGCAGTATTCCAGGTGAGGCCTCACCAGCGCAGAGTAGAGGTGCAGGATCACCTCTCCCAACCTGCAGGCCACACTTCTTTTAGTGCAGCCCAGGATACAGTTGGCTTTCTGGGCTGCAAGGGCGCATTGCTGACTCATGCCCAACTTGCCATCCACCAGTACCCAAAAGTGCTTTTCAGCAGGGCTGTGCTGAATTCTTTCATGCCTTAGCTTGTATTGGTAGTGCAGGTTGGCTTTAACCAGTGCAAGACCTTGCACTTGGCTTTGCTGAATCTCATGAGGTTCACTTGGGCCCACTGCTAAAGCCTGTTTAGATTCCTCTAGATGGCATCCCAACCCTTAGATGTTTCAACTGCATCCACAGCTTGGTGCCATCCACAGACTTTCTGAGGGTGCACTCAACCTCACTGTCAATGTCACTGATAAAGCATTAAAGAGTATCAGTCCCAGCACTGATCTGTGTGAGACACCTCTTGTCACTGATCTCCATCCAAACACTGAGTTCGACCACCACTCTCTGGATTTGATCCTGGAGCCAGTTCTTTGCCCATTGAACAGTCTGCCCATGAAATCCATATTTTTCCAATTTGAAGAGAAGGATGTTGTGGGGCACTGTGTCAAAGACATTAATGAAGTCTAGATATATAGCATCAGTGGCTCTTCCCTTGTCCAATGATGCAGTTATACCACCATAAAAGGCAACTACATTGGTCAAACAGGATAATCCATCCATGAATGTAAGCTCATTTTCCCAGCAAAGCCTGTACATACAGATCATGTACTTAAGTGCTTTCTACAGTCTTTTCACTAATATATCTTGAGTTGAGATACACAGAACATCTACAGAAACACCGACTATTACTGCGAGGTAAAAAGTGGACTTAGAGATGTCCTTCAATAATTTTATCTTGTTATTCTATCATCCTGGATAGTCTGCTATTCATATCCTAGGAAAAGATGTTGGTGGGCAAAATAATTCTGAACTAATAGCAAGAAATCCTTTTCTTCCACCTTAAAGTGGGAGAAATTGGAGAACTGAAAATAAAACAAAAGTTTTACAAAAGAAAAAAAATTTAGAAGGCTAAAACTTTGCTGTCTTCTGCTCTTTTGCAATGCTTTGATGAATTTAAAGTCTCTAATGCTCTAGTCACTCTGCATTCAAAGATAACCATCCCAAGGAAGAAATCATCATCTTTCTGCACATCCTTTGTGCCCTTTTACTCAGGTGCTACTTCAGTAGTTTTCTCAAGAGAGATATTCAAACAGCTAAGAACATCTGTACTCAAAATTCCATCTCAACTAATACACTCATGCTCTGCATTTAAGCAGCCACCTGCTTATACTTACACCTGGTAACACAGAGAAACCATTATCCTGCTACCTGAAGGGAACTTTATCTTCTACAAATTTCTATTGTCTGCTCTTGTGGAGTAGGCAGATGAAAAACTTCAAGATCTTAAGAGTGAAATTGGTAAACAATAAAGAGAACTGATCATTCTGAAGTTAGTGCAGTCAACGTTTTAGATGATTATAAGAAGTTATTTTAACACAAGATCCCCAGCAGTAAGTAAACAGATCTGTTCAGAAGCGTCTTGAAGGATCAAAAAAGCACACGTGAAAGATCCAAGGACTTCTGTTTCTAAACATTTTGTTCTCTACTGGCTTGAATGATCACTTAATGATCAGGCTAAAATAGGATCACTTCTCACTTGGTGTCACATCCCCAAAAAAAAGACTTATCACCGCTCTATTTCAAAAGTCTGTTTTGAGGAGTTCCAGTGTCAGCCCACAGTATTGGAGAAGGGATGGAGGGCAGTGAATGCACTTGTCTGAACGTCCAAGTCTCAAAACAGCAAACAGCAGGAAGTGAGGAATCAATGACAACAACTACCCACAGGGGGTCCTTTTCAGGCTTCCTTTTATTCCTGCTAAGTTTACAGGTGCACTGGCCCAAGGCTGTGGGCAAGTCTGCAATAAAGCAGGATGGGTAAACCCATATGTCAGTGAAGCAGGACTATTCTGTTGAGAGGACAGGATATCATACTTGCTGATGGCACATTCTAGAAAGTCAGGAAATGTCTTCTGTTGGTTCCTTACACTTGACTTACTAGGCAAACTCTTACCTCTGAGAAAAAAAATCCAATTGTTCACATACAATAACCAAATCCACTGAAAGTGGCACAGGGTAGTATTGTGTTTTACAGTCAAGCTGGAAAGATGTCACAAAGCCACTGCTTCCCCTTTCACATAGAAACAGAGGACAGAACTATATATTATAGAGCTGAAGAGGACAAAATAGAATGACTTTCTTCATGGAAAACCATGAAAACAGCCACCACAAGCACACTGAGTTGCATCCTTTCTTCTTCTACAGCTCATGCACACAGTAAAGCTACTCTCACTTGGCAGTGGTGCACTCATCCAAATATGCAGTTGGAATAGAGGTCAAAGCATTCCATTCTTGCATACATCTATGACAGCATGTGTATGGGAACTGCTGAGTCACGGCCTGAACCTCTGATTGATCACCTGAGGTGAGCCATGAGTCAGCCAGAGGAGCACAGCTGAAGGCAATTCACCTGTACTGCCGGAAGGGATGGAGCCAGGCTCCACCCCTCCTAGACCTATTTAAGAGCTGGCTGCCAGAGGGGAAGGATCTCTTCTGGAGATCACCTCTCTTGGTGTTTTGTGGTGAGCTCAGCTGAAGGGTAAGCTCTTCCACTTATTCTCTTTTGTGATCATTGTCTACTTTGCCTAACTTTCTTGATTATATTGTGATTATAACATCTTGATATCTATTGATTATACAATTATATTGTGATTATAACATCCTGGTATCTATTGATTATACAGCATGACATAAGATAAAAGCAGAAATGTGTCTAGAGCAGGAAACCAGCCCCAATTCCTACTTTTCTTGTGAGTGATCAAATCTAGACTACATTCAAACTACAAGCTGGACAATGCTCAAGAGAGCTGAAGCTCATCAATTGTAACATTTAGTATATGCTGCCTATAAGGGATTTCTGCGTCTTCTTATAATAAGAGTACGTTCATAACATATACCATAGAGGTAACAAGCCAAAAATAGAGGACAACAGAAAAAATATTACATATTATACCCTTTTCTTTGAGAAGGAGTAAATCCCTCACTACTTCCCACTCCAATGGCATTGTTGCAGGCAAAGAGCTATCAAATTGCTTCTGGTAAGCCAACAAAAAGATAAGTTCATGTATGTGCAGTGAGGTGTAAAACAAATTATTTTATGCTCCCATTCAACGCTCTGCACTCTGCTCATTAACAACCAAGATGCCAAATATTCAATGTATAGCAAAACTACATTTGTTCCTACTGGATTACGACAAGGTAACATTCCTATTAGTGCTGCTACATGCAAGAAGGAATTTCTTGCTATTGAAAATATTTTAGATCTAAAATATAACAGCACTTTTCATTTACTTGTTTACTGATACTTTCTGAACAACAGTGTTCTGAACACAGTGCTTTTGAGACATGCTGGTGGAATCTGTGTTCTCGCTCCATGAAAAGCGGCCCTGTGTCATCTGCATGTATACTCAGCAACACAGGTATGATGTTGGGATTTCAAATTAGGTGAGTGACTTTTTTCCCTTAAAAGCACTTGTTTAAAAGGAATGTAAGGGAAGGATACGCAGTTCCTCTGATGCGCTTGATTTTGCCTGGGTCAGTGAACTGAATAGGCTGCAAGACCTTTCTCACTGGGCAAGCAAATAATATCTCCCCACCTCCTTTTGGAGGCATTCCTCTCCGGTTGATCTGAAAACAATAAGAAAACAGGTTGCAAAGAACACAAAGAATATATCACAGAATCACAGAATTGTAGGGGTTGGAAGGGACCTCCAGAGATCGAGTCCAACCCCCCTGCCAAAGCAGGTTCCATGACCAGGTCGCACAGGTAGGCATCCATATATTCAATCAGACATAATAGATTTAATTTCACTTAAAATATAATGTTGTCATTATCAGTAAGTAAACACAAGTAAGAAAAAGACATCCTAAAGGCAGAAACAGATTTTTTTCCACCAAACTTATAAGCAACAAATGGTTTCTTTTACTTCTCCCTGCCCCCCACCCCCTTGTTTCTCTCATTTCAAATGCAGTAGGCATGGATTTCCAGTGAAGAAAAAAAAATATACCACTACCAAAAACAAAGACAATCAGGCAAAAAAAAAAAACCCAAACCCTACAATATTTACCAGGGAGGCAACACTAGTTCACTACCATTACATATCTATCTCACTGCTGAAGAAAGTGTTATCTTTTTGTTGCTTAACATGCTTACGTGGGAATCAAAATGAACAAATTCCCTTCTTTTTTGAAAGCCTCTCCATCCCATGCTGATCCCAACGTTCTACCCAAGAAGCAGGGCAGACCAGGGGGCAGTCCCAACTCTGAGCACTGGGAACACTCCCAGGGACAGAGACTAGATAGATATGACAGCTGGGAACTGGAGACCAGGACTGCTGTCACACCATCCAGGCAGAGCCTGATGTTGTCTTGATTCATAGTGGAGCCTGGAGGGGGAATAGTAAAACTGCTACCTTGGACTTCAGGAGGGTGGACTTTGAATTGTTCAAGAGACTAATAGGGGGAGTCCCCTGGCATTCAATCTTAGCAATTAAAGGGGTCCAAGAGAGCTGGTTGCTCTTCAAGGAGGAAGTCTTAAGGGCACAGGAGCAGGCAGTCCCCCTGAGATGCAAAATGAGCCGGTGGGGAAGAAGACAGGTGTGGATGAATAGGGAGCTATTCCTGAGGCTCCGGGAGAAAAAGAGAATCTACCGCCTGTGGAAAGAGGGACAGGCCACTCAGAATGAATATAAGGAAGTTGTTAGGGTGTGTAGAGGTGAAATCAGAAAGGCAAAAGCCCAGCTTGAATTTAACCTGGCTGCTGGGATGAAAAGGAATAAGAAACTCTTTTATAAATACATTAACAGTAAGAGGAGGACAAAGGAGAATATCCACTCTTTGCTGGATGAGGCTGGGAATGTGACCACTGAGGATAAGGAAAAGGTGGAGGTTCTGAATGCCTTCTTTACGTCTGACTTTAAAAGTCAGACCAGTTATCCTCAGGACACTCCTCTCTCTGACCTGGTAATCTTGGCTGGGGAGCACACTAACCCCCCTGTGATTCTGGAAGAAACAGTCAGAGACCTGAGGCCAGCTGAGATCCACCCGAAAATGCTGAGGGAACTGGCAGAGGTGAGAGCCGAGCTGCTTTCCATCATCTGTCAGCGCTCCTTGTTGACTGGTGAGGTCCCAGAAGACTGGAGGCTTGCTAATGTGACTCCCATTTATAAGAAAGGTCATAAGGAGGATCCGGGGAACTACAGGCCTGTTAGCCTGACCTCGGTGCCAGGGAAGGTTATGGAGCAGATTGTCTTGAGGGAGATCATGCGGCATGTGCAGGGTGACCGGGGGATCAGGCCTAGCCAGCATGGGTTCATGAAGGGCAGGTCCTGTTTGACCAACCTGATCTCCTTCTATGATCTAGTGACCCATCTGGTGGATGAGGGAAAGGCTGTTGATGTGGTCTACCTAGACTTCAGCAAAGCCTTTGACACTGTCTCCCACAGCATTCTCCTGCAGAAGCTGGCAGCCAGAGGCTTGGATGGATACACTCTTGGCTGGGTAAGGAGCTGGCTGAAGGGCCGGGCACAGAGAGTGGTGGTGAATGGAGTCAAACCGGTGGTGACCGGTTGTGAGTGGTGTTCCCCAGGGGTCGGTGCTGGGGCCTGTCCTCTTCAATACCTTTATTGATGACCTCGATGAGGGCATCGAGTGCACCCTCAGTAAATTCGCAGATGACACCAAATTGGCTGGAAGTGTGGATCTGCCTGGGGGTAGCGAGGCCCTACAGAGGGATCTGGACAGGCTGGAGAGCTGGGCTGAAGCCAATAGGATGAGTTTCAACAAGGCCAAATGCCGGGTCCTGCACTTCGGCCACAACAACCCCAGGCGACGCTACAGGCTTGGGGCAGCGTGGCTGGAGGACTGCGTAGAGGAAATGGACCTGGGGGTATTGATTGATGCTCGGCTGAACATGAGCCGACAGTGTGCCCAGGTGGCCAAGAAGGCCAATGGCATCCTGGCTTGCACGAGAAACAGTGCTGCCAGCAGGAGCAGAGAGGTGATTGTTCGCCTGTATTCAGCACTGGTGAGGCTGCACCTCGAGTATTGTGTCCAGTTTTGGGCCCCTCACTGCAAGAAAGACATTGAGGCCCTGGAACGTGTTCAAAGGAGGGCAACGAAGCTGGTGAGGGGTCTGGAACACAGGCCATATGAGGAGTGGCTGAAGGAGCTGGGAATGTTCAGCCTGGAGAAGAGGAGGCTCAGGGGAGACCTCATTGCTCTCTATAACTTCCTGAAGGGAGGTTGTGGTGAGCTGGGGGTCAGCCTCTTCTCTCGTGTCATTAGTGATAGGACCAGGGGGAATGGCTTCAAGCTACGGCAGGGGAGATTCAGGCTGGACATGAGGAAGTATTACTTTCCAGAAAGGGTGGTCAGGCACTGGCATGGACTGCCCAGGGAGGTGGTGGAGTCACCGACCCTGGGGGTGTTCAAGGAAAGGCTGGATGTTGTGTTGAGGGACATGGTTTAGTGGGAGCTACTAGGAATAGGTGAATGATTAGACTGGATGATCTTTTAGGTCTTTTCCAACCTTGGTGATTCTATGATTCTGTGTCAGCAATGTTGCAACAGATCCTGGGCCATTGGCAGGATGAGGGGAGAAACTGTGAAGTCAAAGAGGAGCAAAGACTAAAAGTGGATGCTAGGCTTTCATACATTTTAAATAAGTCTTTTCTAGTTAGAAACATTATAGTTTCTACTCTTGAGCCTATTCTAGACACAAATTTATTATGTCTGTAAAAAGTAGTCTTTACAGAAAAGTTTCTTTACTATATACTATATATTCCAAATGGGAAATAAACCTTAACCAAATACAGATCCAGTACCTTTGCTGGTAAAGGAGACAAAAGATTGAATTATTACCTCCTAGCCCTAAGCAGGGGGCAGGAAGAACAGGAGTAAAGAAGAAGAAATTACATTAAGTGAACAGGAACAAGAAAGCAGAAAGGTTTTTTAATTTGCAAAGATCCCCAAGACTCAGAAAGGTCACTTGCATTTGTCACCCTCTCTACATATAGCCTTTGCATCTCTACTCTACTACAGACCTTCAACCATTATATGTGTACTATGCTATTTGAGACATACCATGAACAAGACAAATACTATTATATAATGATATATATTATTTAGATAGGAACAGATATCTGCTAGAGACAGAAGAGGGAAGCAAGCATATAGTCCCATGAAGCAGTTGAAAGCATTGTTCCCATGTACATTTAGAAAGAAAGAAACATACTCTCATACCTTGATTTCCAGACTTTCACCATCAATTCCAAATTTTTTCAGTAGTGGTAGAGCCGTTGCCTTAAGGACATCAACCTACAGAACACATAGTTTTAACAGCAGACCCTTTATTGAAATTACATAAGTCAGTAACTTAAAAGTCATATGAGATGTCTAACAAGGATGAAGATTCCCTGTGGTAGGCACTCTGTGGGCAGGCATAGGAGGGCAGAGAGCTTCATTTACTCTTAAATTATCACAAGATTTCACTACTTACAAAATTTACAACAGCACTATGGAGATGGAATTTCTTATTCAGGATTTCTTCCTTAGTCTAACTTCTGTTATGGTTCAGCTAGAACTGCTCACTTGTTTCTCTGAATGTGGTTACAAAAAAAAAAATAAAAAATCTTATGCTGTTATGAAAAAATTCTGACAACTGAAATATATGATGATTCCAAGAGCATAGAGCATATAGAGCAGCCCCTTGAACTGGCAAGGAGCAACCTTACTGTTTTGTCAAGAACTTCTCATCTGTTTCTGGAAACAGAAGTTTCTAGGTAACTAGAAGAGTCTAAAGCAAATGAAAAATCATTCACTTCCCTTGGAGCCACCTACTCACTAGAACTAGGTCTCAGCTAGATTTTCCATGCCACTGCTCCTTCTGTTTCACTAAACTAAGACCACAATGACTGTCTGATGTCTTTCTTCCACTGAACCTTTAGCACTAAATGTGACAAAACTGATTCAAGCAGAGCAATAGCAAATCATGCAAGACAAACTTGGGAAAGATAGGACCAGGACAGCATGACCAAAGAGGAACTAAAATTCAGGTGGAGAAAGAAACAGGTTCACTGTACACAGCACTGTGAAGATGCAGAAATAAAGCATCCTTCTTTCCATGGTTTCAGCAAGAATTGTTGACCCCTGAGTTTCATGTCTCTGCTTTGAAACTGTGAAAGTACTGAAAACAACCTGCTAGAGCCACCCGAGTTGCTACAGTTCTCATTTTCCAAACTTTGCTGGTCACCATACTTGAGAGAGATTTTGAGTTGCTTTCAATGATATCAAGTATGTATCAGTATTTTAATGTCTTCATAAAAGATCTGTAAAACAGAGATTTATGTATTTAAGAAGCTCATGGTACAGCCCCTTACTACCTTAATTCTGCCCCTCAGCAGTATTCACTAATTTCACTGATTTGACTTTTGAAGGAAAATCCTCTAATAACACGCATATGGACACCCATCAACACATGTGAATACTGCTGGCACAGGTGATTAAATTTCAACATACCAGTCTGGTTTGAGTAAGGTTAAAAATATTTCTCCCTTTCTCTTCTAAAAATGCACATACCATTGAAAAAAGAAAAGCTTTACTGCATAGATGGAAACTCCCTTCTTCTCCTCCATATCCACTTTTGCAATTCTTCGGATTAAAACTTGCCTGGAAGAAGACTGTTAAGGAAATGCTGAAAGCTGGTTCAATCTTAAGTCTGGTTTGGTTGTTCCCAAAAGTTTCAAGACTTGTTGCAGTGTTTCGTCCCCAGAGAAGTCCAGACATGATACCTATCAGGTACAAATGCACAGTAACAGATTGTCTCTGTTCCAGATTTACAGCCTGAGCCGAGAAGATAACTGGCAGTATGTGAATAGTGGAAAAGACTATTCTGATTAAGAGAAGGATGAGATCATGCAGAAGTGGTGATTACTTAACTGAAAGTGAAGACAACAGCAGAACTGAGATTCAAAACCCTATTTTCCAGGATCTTGCCTATCACTCAATCATAAAACTACCTTTCACTTCCCCTTGGAAGGATGTTATTCCATCTCTGCAGCAAACAACACAATACCAAGGTGTACCACAACAAAAGCATCATACAACAGAGGGCATACCACACCACAAATGCCAACAAGTTGCTACATCCAAATTGCTTGTTCATTAGTTGATGAACCTTTTCCTTTAAAGAAGTTGACAGTAACTAAAAGAAAAAATCTTTAAAAACCTTCTAGTGACATGCAGAATCCCTTAGCTAGCAAAAGGTGCAAAAAACAAAGACATATTGGTATGTGCTTGTTCCCTTCCTATATAGTTATTAGCTCTGCACAGAACAGCAGAGCTGTTTACCTGTGCCATACACACATTACATTTGCTGACTGGACCTATATTGTGTGCAATGCACCAGAGTTCAGCAAATTAAAAAAAAAAAGATGAGAGGAGTTAGTAGGAAAAACTTTTGCTTTCCTGGAATTACAACTGCTTAATTCTGATTAACACTGAAGTTCATCATTCCCAAGCCCAAACTTTACATACCAGTCTCAAGCCATCAGAAAAGTCATTTCTGTGGAAAGTCCTATGACATAATGTTTGTAAACTCAACCATTAAGAACAGTTACAGACAAACCAACTGTAGCACTCTGAATCTGTCACAGTAACAGCACTGGAGAGAAGGAAATGGAAATACAGGAGTGAGGAGCTGCATGCTGCTTCCACTCCTGTCAAAAAGGGGCCTTAGAAAGATATCCCTCCCATCCTCCCTGTACTGTCTATACAGAGAAACTCAAAACTACATCAGCTATGCATGTCAGTCCCATACAAATGGTCCCACAAACTGTTCAGGGTCAAGTCTCACCTGTGGTCACAGAAAAAAAATGTAATTTAAACACAAGTTGCCAGTGAATAGTTCAGGCTAGTATTCCGAAGCCATGTGGAGATCTCTTCCTAACAGAGCATTATCCCTCTCACTCATTTTGGACGTATCACACTAATGTTGCCACTCCCAACCTGCACAAGTGCACATTATCCTGTATTCCAAAAGCCACAGTATCCTCCTGATCACTGTTTGCACAACTATCACTACAGACACCAGTTGCCAAAATGCTCTTCATTGCATGCCATGGGTGGAATATCAGTGTATGCAAACAAACAAATCTATACTTCTACCCCACCAACCAGCCTGATCTATGACTCAATGAACTCAGCTGAAAGTTTTCCTTCCACAAGCCATTCTTCAACAATACCTTTCCTCTTCCCTCAACCACTTCCACTCCCCGCTGCAGGAGATTACCATGTTACCTATGTCCTTCTGACCAAAGGAAGTCCTGCAAAGAGTGACTTCAAACCCACAGCACAGCTATTGCATCCAACAAATATTTTTGAAAGTAACTTCATAGCTGTAAAAGTAGTGAGCTCAGGGATGACAGTAGATTTCAGAAAGCCCCTGGGTCAGCCTAACTGCTCACTGCTACCATAAAGCAGAGACTCCACTTCTCTCACTGCCCACTTCACTTCTGGATTCCTCCTTGAGAAAATGCAGGGAATGTCAGCTATTTTGCCAGTTAGTTAGGGAACTGGCTTAGCGAAGGCTCTGAAAAGTGTCTGCAGCATTGGAATCAACAACAGTGCATGGCTGAAAGCAGGAGATAGGGATGAGAGGCTGGCAGAACCACCTTATTTTTTTGAGCTCAAAATGGATAGTACATGAGCAATCATGTTTAAATCTGTATGTAAGTTGTCATATGTGTAGATCTGAATTTGCCCATTTACCCACAGATGACAGATGTAGACAAGGATGCCTCTTACAGAGTTAACATAACTTCAAAATATAGACATATGTTAACAAAATACAATATCCTTCTTACAGACTAAGCTAAACTTCAAAATCCAACCAAACAGACAACATAACTTCCAACACAGGTGAGCAGGTGCCTTGCCTTTCATATCTATGAATGTGAACTAGAGAGACACATACATGAAGAATGAGAGGAAAAATGCCTTGTTAATCTTAAACTAGTCACGAAGTATTAACACTGGTTTTCCCTCCATTCTTCCCCTTGGACAAGCGGAAAAAGTGCAGAAGGATAGACCAATCTGAGACCAACATTTTGAGAAAAGCATAAATACATTTTCACCCAGCTGCTAAGCACCTTCTACTTACTGAACAATAAAAAGCCCAAATAAATTTGAAATCAAGTTTCCAGGTACTTAAGCACCAAAATCATTTAAGGTACCACTTAAAATTGCATGTTTAGTTTCAACAACCTACAGAGAAGTGGGAGGTACAAAATACATTGTAAAAACACTTTAAGTTGGTGTTGTTTTAACCAGCAAGCAGCTCAGCACCAGAGATTTACACATTTTCCCTCAGTGGGATAAGGAAGAGAACGAGGAAGAAAAAAGAAATCTCATGAGCGGAAGCACAGAGTCACGGAACCATTTAAGTTGCGACGTTTAATGGCAATCTAATCCAACACCCTTGCAATGAACAGGGACATCCACAGCTACATCAGGTTGTTCAGGGTACCATCCAGCCTGACCTTGAATGTCTCCATGGATGGAGCAGCCACCATCTCTCAGTGCAACATATTCCAGTGCTTCACTACTCTGAGATAGAGTTTAATAGGATACGCAAGGAAGGGAAAATAATAAAATACATAAAATAAGTGATATATAACATAAACGCTCACCACCTGCCAGCCAATGCCCAGCCAGTTCCTAGGCAGTAGTAGCTGCCTCTCTCCTGATAACCGCCCTGCTAGCCAATTCCCCCATGTTTTACTGTTCATCTTACAGTATAGAATATTCCTTTGGTCAGTTTGTGCCAGCTGTCTTGGTTGTGTCCCCTCCCAAATTCTTGTGCATTGCCTGCCTCCTCACTGACTGAACAGCACAAGAAGAGTCCTTGGCTCTGTATAAACACTGCTCTGCAACAGCTAACACACTGATGGGTAATCAGTGTTATTTTTCTCCAGCATCCAAAATACAGCACTAGTATATATAGTATAGTATATATATACTAGCCACTACAAAGAAAATAAACTCTGTCCTAGCTGAAACCAGGACAAACATGCACTTAGTTTGAAATTTATTCAGATAATTTAAACAGACATAAGCCAGACTTCAACCAGTTTTAGGAGCCATTATCAAGCCATTATCACCATTTAGCAATTTACTGCTATTTGTTAGCTGAGCCAAACTAACTAGTTGTGCTCTGCAACGTGCATAACAATGCATAAGCACACAACTCTGCATTTTACATCTACTGCAAACACACTGCAAACTAATGGAATTTAGCTGCTGTAACCCCAGTATCATTCTGTGCCTGAGCTTAGGCAGATGTAAGCCACTTTCAAGCACAAACTAACTGGCTCTGGTTCTGACACTCCTTTCAAGTAAGGTTGTTTAATTGTTGGCCAATGTGCCTATTCTATTCTAATATATATACTTTATATATTCTAATATACATGTTCTATTCTAACCCTCCCTATTCTGGGTTAATTCCCACAATCAGAACTCAGCGACTTAGATGAGCATCCAAACTTAATTGAAAGCAACATTCAGACTGGATTGCTCTTCCTCTCTTTATTTAAGAAAAGAAATCTCTTCATTGTGGTGAAAAAGATGCAGCCAACATAACAGTCTCAGTAATAGACTGCGAAGAGCTGCCCCTGACAAACAGTCATAAACAGGTTGAGAGCGTCAGGTTAAAGTTAGGGACTGAACCAATAAAAGGCACCTGTTGCTCCGGGTCTACTAAATGCCATTTGATCAATGCGAGCCTGCTGATGAGGCCTTTTTGCTTCAGCTGCAAGATGCATCACACTCATAAGATCTTACCCTAATTTCAACCACCCAGATAAATACTGGGAAAACAACATAGTGAGCTAGCTGCAAACAGCCCAGGAGAATCCTGGAGTCCATTGATGAGAACTTTATGGTTCAAATACTGGACAGAGGTGAAGCATTACTGGACCTGGTGGTCACCAACAAGGAGGAAATTGCAAAAGAAGTTTTGATTGAAGGCAGCTTGAGCTGCAGCAACCATGTCCTAGTCAAGTTCATGATCTTTAGGAATGTGGGCCTGGCAAAGAGTGGAATCAGGATGCTCAACTTCAGGCCGTTTAAGGAAGTGTTGGATGAGATCCCTTGGGAAACTGTCCTTAGGAACAAAGGAACAGAAAAGAGTTGGCAACATTTCTATTCCACACCTTTCTATGAGTGCGTGGCAGAGCAAGGACCTGCTGGTAAGGCTGAGAGAAAAAAGTAAAAGCAGTGGAAGCAGAGATGGGTGACCTGGGAAGAATATAAGGATACTGCCCACATATGTAGGGATGGAGGCAGGAAAGCCAAGGTGTAGATGGACTTGAACTTGGCAAGGAATGTGAAAACAAGAAAGGATTCATTAGATACGTTAGGCAGAAGAAACAGGCAAAGGCGAGTGTACTCCCTCTGATAAAAGAAACAGGACTGCTAGCCTTCTCAGATACAGAGAATGCTGAAATACTTAATGAGTTCTCTGCTTCAGTTTTCACGGAAAGTCAAGGTTCTCATGCTTCTCATGTCCCTGAGCTTCTAAAGCAGAGGAGCAAAATCCCTCTCAGTGTAAGAGCAGAGCAAGTCTGAGATGACCTGAAGAGATTGGATGAGTACAAATGTACTGGGCCAGATGACATGCATCCTAGGGTTCTGAAGGAACTGGCTTATGTGATTGCCAATCCTCTCCCCAACATATCTGACAAATCATGGCTGTTAAGCAAAGTCCCTGGTGACTGGAAAAAGGGAAACACCACTCTCATGTTTAAGAAAGGGAAAAAGCAGGATGCAGAGAACTAGACCTGTGAGCTTTCTGTCTGGGAAGACAACACCGCAGATCCTCATGGACACATATAAGATGAAGATGACATCTGAAACAGCCAGTGTGGCTTCACCAACGGCAGATCATGCTTGACCAGTCCAGTGGTCTTCTAAGTGGAGTGATGGCATTGGTGGACCAAGGAAGGGCAACTGATGCCACCTATCTGGACTTGTGCAAAGCCTTTGACATGGACCCACACCAGATCCTTGTCTCTAAATTGGAGAGAGAGGTGGATTTGAAGGCTGGACTACTAGTGGATAAAGAGTTGGTTGGACGCTCATAGCCAGAGGGTTGTTATCAGTGGCTCTATGTCCAGGTGCAATGGGATCAGAAATGACGTTCTCCAAGGGTCCATCTTGGGACCAGCACTCTACATCTTTATCATCAATGACGCAGACAGTGGGATTGAGTGCATCCTTAAAAAGTCTGCACACAACATAAAGCTGAGTGGTGCAGCTGACACAATAGAAGGGAGGGATACCATCCAGACGGGCCTGCACATGCTTGAGAAATGGGCACGTGAGAATCTACTGAGGTTAACAAGGCCAAGTGCAAAATGTTGTACTTGGGTCAAGGCAATCTCAGATACAAGTACAGACTGGGAGAAGAACTCAATGAGAGCAGCCCTGCAGAGGACTTGCAGGTCTTCTGGACAAAAAACTGGACATGCACCAACTGCATGCTCTTGCAGCCCAGAAGGCCCATAATACCCTGGGCTTCATCAAGACAGGGGGACCACAGGGGGAGAGAAGCAATCCTGCTCCTATGTGCTGCACTGGTAAGGCCCCACCTGGAAATCTGGGACCGCCAGTACAGAAGGGATGTGAAGAGGGTCCAGAGGAATTCCATGATGATGATCAAAGGGTTGGAGCACCTCTCCTATGAAGACAAGTTGAGGAAATTGGGCTTGTCCAGCCTGGAGTAGAGAAGGCTGCAGAAAGACCTCGCTGCAGCCTCCAAATGCTTAATGGGAACTTATAAGAAAGAAGTAGATCAACATTTTACACAATCTGATAGTGACAGGACAAGGTAGAACGGCTTTAACTGTAAGAGGGTAGATTTAGGTTAGATATTAGGAAGAAATGTTTTACTTAAGAAGATGTTGAGGCACTGGAAGATGCTGTCCAGAGAGGCTGTGGATGCTTCGTCTCTGTTGTTCAAAACCAGGCTGGATGGGGCTGTGGTTGGCAACCCTGCCCATGGCAGGGCAATTAGAATCAGATGACCTTTAATATCCCTTCCAATATAAGCCATTCTATGATTCTAAAAGGATCGAAGATTCCTTCTTTGTCACAGCCAACTTTTATAGACAATTTCTTCTTTTAATAGCAAATCAGTATGTAATGGGATGTAAACTTTTCCCTAACTGTGGGAGAAGTGAATTAGTGGAAGGGCCTCACATGACATTTAGAGAGTTTCCAAATGAGAAAACAGAAGCAGTATAGAACAGAAGTCAAAGAGTGGAATATCGAATGTAATGTGGAGAGCAAAAATGGAACAGTTCAGTACAGTTAGTAGTTTTATCTAGACAGCTTGTTGGCAGATGCAGTAATACTGCATGCTGTAAAAGATCACAAAAAAACACAGTATACTTTATAGACTTCTTCCTAATCTTTATTTAGAAAGAAAGAATCCTCCTCCAGTACTTACATTTTATTACTTACCGAAGGATCTACTCGATCATTTGTTACTCCCCTCAGGACAATCTTCAGTGGATGTTTCATGAAGGGTGCCAAACAGAGAAGACTTTCTAAGTAGTAGCCAATACTGCGGCTAGGGCTGCAGTCATGTTCCAGTGAGCCCCCATATAGAAGACCAGGCTGATAATACAAGGTAGTACCTGGGAGAGAAGCCAGTGAGGAAAAAAAGAAAATTAAAGCAATGTCAGCATGATAGCCATTACTGCAGCATAAAGACACTTTACAACCAGGGAAAGCAGGTTTTATAGAAAACTGGCAGCACTACCACCACACTACTTCAAAGACCACAGTAAATAAATGGGTCAAGGCAGATGACTGTTTGTCTTGTACATCATTTCTCCTCCTTCCTGCCCTCCTCCAAAATTAAGAAACTCTAACTATCCCCAAAATGCTGAAACAAGCAACTATCTTTTAAACAACAATCTTTAAAAGCAACAATCTTTTAAAGAAGATAGAATGAAATTATGCTCTGTTGAAAACCTGTCTCAGTATATCCAGTGACATATTATCCACCTTACTGACAAACCAGTCCAGAAAATCTACACATAATCTACACAACTGAGATTCCTACATGGGATGCTTCTTGATCAAAGTAACTGTAACTCCTCTTAGGAACATGACTTGGCAAGATCTGGCTTGGTTCAGTTACTTTCCTCTGCTAGGAGATCCTACATATTAAACAAAATATTACCCTCAGCTTCAGTGCACTGCACTCTGAAGATGCATCATCTTATATGTATTTCTTTACTAAAAAGCTTCTGTGCTTAGTAACATCTAATTCATGGAGTCAATGCTATCTAAACACATACCTGTCAAGCTGCAATTTTTACTTCAAGTAATAGAGCCTGGAAGACTGCAACAGAGGAAGAAGAGAAAACAGACCTCACCTGTTTGGTTTATCTCAATCCTAGAGCCATTTGTCACTTTGTCAATAAGGCGAATAAAACATGCTTCAAAGTCTGAGGAACAGAACAAAGAAATAATCTTATAGTTACTTAAATTTACTCCTGAAAACAGCAAGAAACTTCAGCATACCAGACTTAAACATTTTCCTTTGCATTAAGCAAATGGAGAGCAAATGATAGAAGCTGGTGCGTCTGATCACCCAAGCCCAGGATAAAGCTGTTGACAAGTTACATTTTGCTTACAATAAGGGTAATGTTTGCATGTACGTACAAATCCTAGCCAACAGGACTCCACGTAAAACCCCAAGTACAACAAGCTAATGACAGCTTCCCACTATCCTCTGTAACATAGTTTAGAACTGCTATTCAGATGTGAAGCACTACTGAAGCATGGGAACCACGAGCTACCTGGAGATATTCCAGTTTTCTATTTTCAAAACTATCAATGGCAGTGCTAAGACTACAAAAACTTAATTCTTCCCATCACATCTCTGGAGTTGATGTCCCCCAGTACAAGAAAGACAGGGAGCGGTTGGAGAGGGTCCAGAGGAGAGCCACAAAGATGATCAGGGGGCTGGAGCACCTCCCCTATGAAGACAGGCTGAGGGAGCTGGGCTTGTTCAGCCTGGAGAAAAGAAGGCTGCGGGGTGACCTCATTGCAGCTTTTCAACACCTAATGCAATTCACAACACAGCCGTTCCGCGCCCCATCGTGCCCCCGTGCACCGCCAGTATCCATTCTGGGGACGAGGGCTCCGCATGGGAGCAAAGGGCTGCCTGCCGCGGGGCTCCCCAAACGGCTGCGGGCTCCCAGGACAGTGATCCTCACCCGGGCCCTCAAGTGATCCCGTTCGGGCACGCAGCGGGCACGTCCCGCGGCCGACACCCGGCCCTCGCCGTCCGGATCCCTCCTCAGCGGCGGGCCGAGCAGCGGGTGGGTTCGCCCTCCGTGGCAGCGCCCGGTTAGCAGCTCGGCTCCGCCACTCTCTCCACCCGCACCCTTAGGGACTCTGCCGGCGCCTCGCTCACCGCGGAGACCGGGGTCCTCCTCTTTGGCGCGGATCTTGCGGATTTTCAGCGGCCGACCGCTGAGCGTGGACAGCACCAGCCGCTGCCGTAGGAAGTTGCACCCCGCGAAGCTGAGGCACTGTCCGCTACCACCGCCGCCCGCCATGCCACCGCACTGCCCCGCGGCGCCCGGCGCGCCCACGTGGTTGTGAACAGGAAGCGCTGGGACAGCAGGGGGCAAAGGGCAGGGGGCGGGGCGGGGCGCCGGGCCGGTGGCGGACGGGCCGGTGGGAGGGAGGAAGGGGTGGTGCCCGGGGAACCGCGCGGCCGCCCCGCCCCGCCCCGCCCCGCCCCGCGCCGCCGCTGGGAGCAATGTGCGCGCGGCGCTGCTGTGCGGGATGAGCCGTGGTCCTGCTTGCGGGGCCGTGCCTCGAGAGTCGGTAATTAAATATTGCTCCTTTCTACTCGTCGTGCGTGTGTTTTTTTTTATTGCAGGCTGGTGCTTGTCTGCCTCTGGTTTGGTGTAGTCTTTCACCCGCGCTGTTACGTGGTGCTTTGTTTCTGCAGCCTCAGCTTCTGTGGGATGCCTGAATCCCCGTTATCTGACAGATGAAGAATTAAATCGCGGGGTGGAGCACGGCTTGGGGACCAGGATACACTTCTCAGATAAGAACGAATGAGCTTCTGGCAATGCGTTCAGTCAAACTTTTTTTTAAAGTAATTTATTGCTGACCGTCATGAGGGTAATTAATGAAAGAACCACTTGAGATTCCTGCTTTAGGGCTGTCTTTGAGGGGAGTGTGGATTACAGTATGGGTAACAGTTAATTGCTGGCATACATTTATGCCCATGTAGGAAGAAGTTCCTTGTGTTACACAAAAAACTAAAAACACAGAAAAGTGATCTCATATCCTGTGCTGGAGGGAGCCCACAATACTGTGGTGTTTTCCACAAATATATTTTGCTTTGTGTTTCCTCATGTGCAGAAACTCATGTTAGCTCTTATCCCTGGTTAATACAGTTTGTGCTTTGCTATGGACAAAGTCAGACTGTTAGCAGGGAGCAGCTGACAGCTTCCAGGACATGTGGGTGAGTGCTGCACAGGCAGGCAGTGCCTTCACTGACCAAAGCACAGAAGAGGTGCTGGGTCCATTGACAGAAGTTTGTCAGACCCGGGATCCAACTAGCAGATCCAGTTATGAAGAGTAGTGGATGGGGATAAAGATAAACCTGTATCCTAGGTCTGAGGGGCCCATCCAGGAGGTGGGACAGGCCTGGTATCCCGTCAGGAAGTGCATCTGGAGGTATCTAAACCTGCAGTGTAGCTGAGGCAAGGAACAAAAGCCCTCAGGACCTGTGCTTAACAGGAGCTGAGTGAGTGAGAGGCTGCTGGTGGAGATGCTGAGGACCATTAGTGACTGTTGATGTATGTATGATCCCAGCAGTGATCTCTCTATCTTCAGTGAGAAACATTGGCTGTAGGAAGCAATGCTGTTTCTGATTTTCTTGTGTGTTCTCAATGTAGACCTTCCCCTAGATATATTTGTGATATTTGATTATATTATATTGACATATTTGTGTACTCAATAGATGTGTTTCAGTTTTGTCTGTGCCTTAAGCACCTTCTGGGAGAACACAGCAGCTCAAAAAATACACTTAGAAAGATAGCAAAAGTGGAGTTTAAACTTAGTATTACTACCTGGATATTCGGATGAGTTAAAGATGAAATAGCCCCTGATCTAAACTGAAGCAGCATTGTGGGTGCAGAATCCCTGTTATCTAGAGAAAAATGAAATCTTGTTTTTTTCTGGACGTCCTTTCAATGATGGACCACATGCCATGAATACATATGGCTACAAACAGAAAAGATCTGAATGTTTTTCATGCAAACCGCTAACACTTCAATTTCTTTTGAATAAGTTGTTTTCCAGAGACAGAGCATTTATTTAGATATATTTTTTTGCCAGGATAGTAACTCTTTGCAAGAACTATGACGTCCTCTTATTAGCTGCTTGGTAGCTCAGCTTTTTTTATCGATGCAACTAAGGTTCATTTGTTATTTAGATAAACTGATCTACAGGCTACTTGTAATGATCTATCACAATTTGACTACTTACAGTCCTCAGAAAAAGAAATTTGGTTTTACTGGTAGCTATTCTGTTTTTGGCTGGGACGGAATAGCTCATGTGTTGCTGTATTTTGGATTTGTGACCAAAACATTGATGATGCAGCGATGTTCTGGATATTACTGAGCAGCACTTGCACAAAGAGTATTTTCTGTTATTAATACTCCCTCAAACACTCTCGAGGCTGGGGGTACATGACAGGCTGGGAGGCGACACAGCCAGGGCAGCTGATCCCAGTTGACTGAAGGAGTGTTTCATACTGTGTAACATCATACTCAGCAATAAAAACTGTGAAGGAGAAAGGAGGGACTTTCAGAGCTGTGGCTTTTGTCTTTCCGAATAACTGTTAGCTGTGATGAAGTCCTGCATTTCAGGAATGTGTCTGAACATCTACCTGCCAGTGGGAATTGGTGAATTAATTCCTTGTTTTGCTTTGCTTAATGTGTGGCTTTAACTTTATCAATTTGTCTTTATCTCAAGCCACAAATTTTCTCACTTTTGCCTTTCTGATTCTCTTTTTCATCTCACCAAGCAGAAGGAGTAAGCAAGTGAATTGTGTCGTGTTTAGCTGCCTACCTGGATTAACATGGAACAAAATGGAAATTGCATTGCAGTTATCGACCTGCAGTTTCATGTTGTGAAATGGACAATTTTATATGGCTAAACTTGGATTACCACTGAATCATAGCTCCCAAATCATAGACTTGTTCCTGAATGAACACACTGTGATCATTTTAAAGGGAAGTCTTCTATATTTTAACATTCAGCTCTGTGTCGTATTCTACTTTTAAGCCTACAAATTTTTATTTATTTATTTATTGTTTGTTTGTTTAATACATTTGCATTTATTTTGCCTGCACAGTAACAAAGTGCTTCTTGATGTTCCAATGGAGCGTCCTGTGTTTCAGTTTTTACCCATTGGCTCTTGTACTGAGGCTGAGCGCACTGAAAAGAGCCTGGCTACATACTTTTTGCAGGTATTTATGTACATTAATGAGATCCCCACTGAGCTTTCTCAAAGCTGAACAGTCAAGACTCACTCAACCTCTCCTTGGAGGAGGGATGTGTCAGTCCTCCTGTGGTGAAAATGCAGTCATTCTGACAGCTTTAAAGTCTCTAGTTAAAGCAAATTGTTCAAACCTGGAGTGCTAGTTAAAAACAATAAACAGAAGCCTGAGATGCATTTGTCATTTTGAAGAGACTCATGGAAACAGTCAATTGCTTGTAGTGATAAAACTTCTCAGCTTTCTGAAGGTTCAAAATTGAACCATTCTGATATCATTAGGAAACTGCAATACTTGAGCATCATTTTGAAATTCTTTCTTTTTTCTTTTTAGTTCTCTTCAAATATTGCTGTCCAGGTCAAGAGATTTTAGAATCAACTTTCAGTTATTTATGAAGATTAAATCTGTTTCAAATAAATCTGTACTATCTGAATGATAGCCTATTTTTTAATAACTATCATGTTTCTCAGATATTTTTTTCCTTAATGTGCCTTGAGGTGCTGGTGGTTTTACTGTCTGGAGTGTATTTTCCCATACTTCATTCATCTGTATAAGCAGTGAAGAACCATCAGTTCTGTACAGAAACTTTGTTTTTTGTGGTAGTTATCACTTTGCATAAATAAGTCATAGCTTCTTTGAAAGGAAAAGGCTATCTCATACAAACCCTGCTGAAGGATTAACCTGCTGAAGGAGGTTAGTAGTGATAAGGTTGATGGTTTGGAAAAAAAAAAAGCTTCTAACACTACTTCAATCTTGAATAGATTTGAAAGACAAGAAAATAAGATAGTATATTTTATATACAGTTTTGTTGCAGGTACTCTCCTTTAAGTTCAGTCCTTTACAGTTTAATTGGTGTGACATTTAAAGTTTAAATCAGCTGTTCAACTGACTGGATAGTTGACTTTTGAAATTACTGGTAAATTGTGCTAGTTTTAAAGCATATTAAATGAATTTTTGAAAATTTTGAGAAATTTATGTAGGAATTTTTTGTCAAATGTTTAAAATTACTATAATTTAAAGGAGGAATCCTGTAACTAACAGTTTTAGAGAGTTTTACAAAAAGAAAAAAAAAAGTATCTTAGTCCAAATTGCCTAAAGTAGTGTCATGTGTAATGAACATTGCTGTGTCATCTGTGGAGGAATGCCTTAGTAATATAACCTCATGTACTAACAGAATGAACTCTTGGGAAGGAAAGAAATCCTGGTCAGTGGGAAATTCAGTATGATTTACGAGAAACTTGTTTGTGCAAAGGAGGATGTACCACAGTTTGTTTTCAGCTAGGATATGCTCAAGGTAAGTTATTTACCCAAGATTTAATTTTAAAGTATAAGTCAAATTCACCAAAATGTAAGTTGATGATCTCAGAGAATCTGAGTAATTCCCGTTCCGAAGTACTAAATTGTCTTGGTTTTCCTCAAGTCTATAATAAGCTTATGAAACATTCCTTCTAAAAACTATTTAACTGTAGTTTTTAAAGAAATGGGAAAAACGCCATTCTTAGTAAATTCCCAATATCAAAAAGGTAGGAATTTGAGGCATGGCTTTGGCAGCGTCTGATGCATGGACTCAGATGTGAATGATCCAAATCGTTTATTACAAGTTCTCACATCACTTACATACCGTCACAAGTTTTCTAGCTTTCCCATCCGCCCCTACATCTTTCCCATCCACCTTTACATGTCAACAGAGCATTCTACAAAACACTCTTCAGCCGTTCACACAGGCACTTATCCAATCAGAGCCGTGAGGTGTTCTTTCTTCTAGAGGTGTCCTTGGTTCTATGCTGTTTATCTTGCTCCACAGCTTCTGCTCTGAACAGTTTTTCTTGTATTCCCACAGGCTTTCATGACGTTGGCAGTCATTAATTATTCATTATATTGTATTGTTACAAGTTGAAAACTTCCTCTGCCAAATAAGTTTTTATTGTGGTCTGAATTAGGGAGCCAGTTCCAATAGTGGAGGTTGAGCCAGCTAGGGAAACAGTTCTATCTAGAAAAGAAACAGCTTCAGTTGTTCAGACAGCCTTCTGTGCTGCAGAGCAGGATTGCTAAACAAAAAGGAACACAGGCCTCCCAGTGCTATTGACCTAATCTATTGTAATTTTGATTCCCTGCCTTCCAGTTGAAAAAGTAGGGTACCAAATAGAATTTTACCATGTGAATTCCTGCATTGGAAGATGAATTTGGGTCCAATTCTAAAACTGATTGGGCAAATCAGTTGGAAATCTTATGAAATCTTATGGAGAATGACTTATCTGAAAAATTTCAATTTAAGCTAAATGGTACTTCATACATGGTACTTCATAGCTTCTGGGCAGGTTGAATAAACTGTTTCTGATATAGCCTGGGGAACAGCTGTAGAAGGTATGCTTCTTATATTCCCATTGGCAATCTTCAGAAGAGAGCCACTGGTACATAGATAATTGGAATGTGTATTTCCTTGATTTGGATTATAATAAAGATTTAGAAATAATTTCAAGATCTGAATCCCCTTCCCTCCTCCTCCCAAAACTAAACCAAGTCAGCAATCAATGTGTGGAGGTGCTTGTTACAGAGTATCTTCATCACTTGGAAGAAAATAAAAAGGTATAGAAAATATATGAAAATACTGTAAAATCTGCAAGATATGTCATTGTGGAGTTGAATTTTTCCACATTTTATCAAATAGTATGCAATGTTAGCTGTTTTAAATAGACCGGAGAGTATATAGTGCACATGCAGCTCAGATATAACCACGTAGACTGGGGAACAAGGTGCTATAACATGGGTGCTTGCACTGCCAGAGTGAAAGAACTGTGCATCCAAGTGCAGCAGCAGTATCTTTAAACGTGGTTTCATTGACATCTAGTGACAGAAAGTGTTTCTGCATGTCATGTTCAAGCCTGTATTCAGACCGCAAGAAGGGTGGCCATTTTTCACACAAGTAGGCATTAAGTGAGAAATTAAGTTTGATGGTGTTCTGTCTGAATCCGCTAAAGATTCATATACAGAAAGAAGGTGATTAAGAGTCACCTGTGATAGTTTTGGTGAATGCAGTGTATGTTCAAGTGTTGGAAGATCCATGATTTGCTTAACCCTGATTGTTCTTGCTTATTCAGGCTAATATGGCATACAACAATCACATAATTTCATTCCTTTTCCATTTCTATATCCTTTATATTAAGTGAAATGTTAAAGGGATTGTATTTTATGTAGGTCATTCCAAAAGTAATGTTTCTATATGCCACTGTACATTGTGTGTGGTATGACTAAGTCTGGAAATGTACTTCATGGTCATTGAACTGGTACGAGGTCTGGCATTATCATACCTACAAAAGAAAGGTGTCTTTTTCCCTGGCCTGACAATGGAAGTTTGAACTTTCAACTTATTCAGTGCTGCAGTGTAGCAGTCTTGAGTTGATAGTTTTTCTGTGTACTACGAAAAGCAGATGGATTACACCTCTTGTAATTGCAAAAGACAGTGCACATCATACTCGCTAAGAGCTGTGTCTTGAACTTTTTCTTCACTAAGGAATTCACATGTCACTACTCTGTGAACTGCTTTTTTAACTCTGGCTTGTAGTGATGACTCCACATCTGGTCACCAGTAATTATGTGATCCAGGGATCTGTCACCTTCAGCCTCTTATTGTTTCAATACTTCCAGGAAAACTCACAGGTAGTGTTCTTTTTTTCCCGTGTGAGCATTCATGGGACCCACTCAGCACAGACTTTCTGATATTCCAACGTTGTTGCCATCATTTCCAGTGCATTGAAGCCAATATTCAGCCCCGTTTCCCTGGTTTTAATCTGCTGATTCACGCGGGTGATCTGATCAAGATACTGTTCATTTAATGATGTAACAGCTGTGCATGGCTTCTCTTTAATGTTGCTGTTGCCTCTGCTGAAATGCACCACCCACCGCCTCACTGATCAGATCCAGTGTTTGATCTCCAGAAATATTCAGCAAGTGTTGATGAATATCAATGGTGCATTTTTTTTTGGCACAGAAGAATTCAGTAACACACTTTTGCTTCATTCGCACTTCCGTGTCAGACGACATTCTGTAGGACTGCCCCACTGCTGCCATTTGTTATACAGCAACAAAATCTAACAGTATTGGTGGGAATGTTCAACCTTTGTTACCATTTCACCAACGTGTGCATCTGACATTGTGGGCCAACAAACTAAAACAGGTTTCATTACTTTTGTTACAGCCCTTGTGTAACTTCTTCCTCACATAAGAAACCATTCTGATGTAAAATAGAAAGGTTAGGAAATGAGTTTTGTTACAGTACTAATGGAATTCTTTACCAAACTCAAAAGGACATGGATCTCCAAGGAGAAGATAAGACTAAAGTTCTTTTTACAGTATAAGTCTTAATAAGTCTCTTTAAAGAATTACTTATATTTGAAAAGCCACTGAAAAGTCTGAAAGACTCCTTTTTGGAAAGAACACGAGGACTTGTTTAAAGCAAGATTCTGGTGCCCTTGTGATAGCTAAATGGTAAATTTCCTTAATCAGGACTTAAGGGCACAAGGGCATATAGTCTGGACATAAGTGTGTAATTACATGTGTGAATAAAGCATCCGATCTGTAAGCAGGAAAAAGGTTAATTGAGAATACAATGTAGGCTGTATTAATTAAGCTTGGTTACTGTGTTAAGGTATGAGTAATTTAGTCAGGATTAATATAAACAATTGCCATGTTTGAAATGTTAAAATTATGCTGAAAAAAATAACGTGCATGTTTTTTAACTAAAGGACTGTACCGAATTACCCATTATCTATAATTATCTATACGCTGCTACAGATCCTCCCTATATTTATTCACTTTTGCATTTCTCAATATGCCACAAGTGTTGCGTAAAACCATTAGGATGAAGGATGTACTCTGGCAAAGATAGCTGAGGAGAAGGGAACATTTTACTATGAACACTTGGTAATGTAGTTACCCACGTGTTGTTTTGCAAAGATTATATGCTAGTGAGACTCTGTATGTGAAGTGCCTCTCAATCCACCTCCATCCACTCTTTCTTTGCTTATGCTTTCTGAAATCTAGACATTTTTAAGTGGTTTTTGATGGTGTGATTGTTTTAGCTGTCCACTGTGCCTTTTCTTTGAACTGTCCAGTAGCGCCTGCAGGGAAGTTGATCTTCAGGCTCCTTCATTAACACATAGATAAGTTATTTCCATTTTTTATACGTAGTGACTTTGGAAATAAGGTTTAGTGATCACTGACAAATCTAGTGTTTGTTGTCTCTTTATTTCATACAATAACTTCCCTTTCCCCAAAAATTTGTATTAGAAACACTCAAAACTTGTCTACCTCATAATTTTATGTGAAACGTTTAACTGCAAAAAATAGCATGGCTTCTAACATCTACTACAAAATTGTGTTTCAGCCTGTGCATACAACTACTGCTTTGGCAGACTGAGATGTTTCCCAGGGAACTCTCATAAAGCTTTGAATGTTTCACACTTTGTGTCCTGCTGCATTGTAGAATAAAGAGAGATAATAACAGGTTTGGTTATGGGGCTTACTGCATGCTTATACTTCTAAGTGCTCAGCCAGTGTTTTTATACTTTAACATTAAGGCTATCATCTTGTTTACTAGACAGTTTTTTGGGCTTTGCTCATACTGTTGCTGAATACCACATGCCCATCTGGAGGTTTTTCTGTTGCTGTTTCAGAAGACTTCTTGCAACCACTGCAATTAAACAAGGTTGTAAAAAAGAAAGCTGGATTTTATTAAAGTGCATTTTGTCTTTGGTTCTGTTTTCTGTGACATTGGTTTTCACTGCTGCTCTCCATGCTCATGGTGGTGGAGATCTAGTAATCAGCCTTTCCATAATCTTTATCAGGAAGGCTTATTCTTGCTGCAGATGTGACAGTGAACATTCAGCTATTGGTACAATGTTCTGTTTTAGTGAAAATGCTGCGTACTGCTGAGTATCACTGAATTGTATTGGTGAGAAGAAGCCTCTGGATGTCGTTGGAACAACAGTGCTCAAATGAGGACCAACTGGCGGCAGAATACATTCAACTATCTTAAATAAAGCTCAGCCCCAGCTTTTTAAAAATGTGGCTACTTGCTATCATACGGTTGGTGCAGCCTTATGAAGACCAGCAAGAGCAGAGCTGCTGAATGAGGTTGGGTTAGCCAGGAGCTGAGGTGACCACAGCACAACCTCATGGCACCTGAGCACAAGAGTGAGGTAGTGATAACAGCAGTATGTGTCAACAGTCCAGTGATCACTAGGTGACAGTCAGATAATTAGCCATGTTCAAGGCTAATCTGGGAAATTTAAACTGTGCAAGGTAAGGGTGGGGAAGAGGTACTCATATGGCCAGGACAGGGGCCAGGGGCTTGGTGAGGGAGAGCTGTGGTGGTCCTCCTGAAGCTTGGGCAGGCTGAGGGAGGTGCTGGAAGGGGAGCTAGGAGGGAGGGAAGGAGGGCTGATGCTCTCATAAGCTCTTGGTAAGTATGAATGTGGTGCGTTCGGGCAATAATAAGCATCAGTGCTTGTAATTCCTTAATGTGGTTGCTTTTTAGGGGTGGGAGTAGGAGGGAGAGGGAGAAGTTACTTTGACATAATGCTTAAGGGCTGTCTGATGCTTCTCGTTTTAATGCGGCTTGCTTGGGTATCAGTATTTTGGCGGTTATTTTGTGTGCTGTAAAGATCATTCCCTTCTCTCCCCCGTGCTGACAGCTCCTTCACCGGGAGAGCTGTCACCGGCACTCCGCGGCCTCCTGCCACCCTCAGCCCAGCACCGGGACGAGGCACCGCCCGGGGGTAGGCGGCGCCGCTGCAGGCCGCTCTCCCTCTCGCTCCGGTCCGCCCCCCCCGGCCTAGGCCGCGGGACCTGCGCGCGGCAGCCGCGGCGACGAGCGGGGTCCGGCGGCCGCTGCGGGATGGCGCCGCCGCCGCTGCTGCGCGCCGTCATCATGGGCCCGCCGGGCTCCGGCAAGGGCACGATCTCGGCGCGGATCATCAAGCACTTCGGCATGAAGCACCTCTCTAGCGGAGATATGCTGAGGGACAACATGCAGAAGAAGACAGGTGAGCGGCGGGGGGTGGCTCCGCCGCCAGCCCCGGGCCCTCCCAGAGCACGCGGGAAACGGAAAGCTCTGCACCGGGCTCCTTGCCGCTTACGTTTCCTGGAGCTCCACACGAGGCCTGTCCCAGGGGCTGTGAGGCCGCGGAGTTCCTCGTAGTTCCTCCGTCGGAAGTGTTTGTCCCGAAATGGGCAGACGTGTGTGCAGTGAGGGTGTTCCGAAAAGGAGTGGCAAAGTTTTCAAGCTGTTTGCCTTCATCTGATTTACCGTGTAGTCCTGTCTTGATCTCTGGCTCTCTTCCAGGGCAACTCTTTTTTTTTTTTTTTTTTTTTTTTTTAATTTTTTTACTGATGACAGGTCACCCTCTGGCTTGCAGATCTGCTTTTATTCATGGTGGGGCTGAAAATCTTGCAGGAACCACTTGTGGCTGCTTGTGGTAAAGTGAGGGTGTTGGTGCCAGCACCTGGAAGAACTTGTGAAGGACCGCCTACCTTTGCAGCAGCAAAGCAGAAGCATGGTTACATAACTGTTGGTATTGGTTTTGAAAATTTGTGAGCATCCTTGAAAATGAAAAAATGATCTGTTATTATGAGATCAGCTGGTTTTGATTTCCACATATCTTCACACAAACCATGTTCGCTTTTAAGAGTAATGGCCTTAGCTCGGTTGACTGACCTCACTGTGTTTGGTATCTCCGAGTTAAACATTTGCTAGGAGCACCACCTCTGCAAGCATATCTGAACACATCCAGACTTTTGTATGATTGTAGAGTCAGAATAAGTTCTCTCAGAGACTCACAAAACAAAAATTGTTACTGCTATGAACCTTCAGGTTAAGTAAGATCCAGTGAGAATGGAAGACTTCCCGAAAGAGAAAGAAAACACACTGTTTATGAAATAGATTAGTTTTGTGCCCATTGAAAGTGTTGCACCTTGGAAGCAAGATCAAAGAATGTAAACAGAGTCAAGCTGAGGAGTGTATGAGAAGAATAAATACCCACTGATTGATTTGATAAGGGAGTTTTGGAGCAATGGAAAGAAAAGTGATTCAGCAAAAATGATCTCAGAAGTGTGGACAGATTAAAGGATCTGAAGGAGAGTGGAAACGTGCACATTTGTTGTGAGAGATCAGTGAACAATGTAGGAGGTGTTGAAATTCACTCAGAGTTAGCTAACAGAACTTACAGGAATTGACTATGGAGTTTTCCATTCAGGACTTATTGCACATGAAGCTCTGTTTTAATTTTATTAAAAGTAAGCCACTATTTGCAGAAACAGTCTCCGAATGTCTGAGGTGAATATTGAGGTAGTGAGAGTGGGTAGGATACTGAAAGGGCTAAGCACTTGAGAGTGAGAGGCACTTCAGGGAGCCTGGACGATTGTAGCTGAGGGAAGGAGGAAAAGAGCTTTGGTAATAATGGAGTCTTGGAGTGCTTAGTTCTTTAGGAACTGTAAAACTAAATTGGACAGTTAAAAATTTGGAAAATTAAATATAATTACCAGTTGCTGTATGGAGCTATTTTTAGCACTTGCTGTCTCTTGAAAGCAATCTTTGTTGAAAAGTCCTTTTGAGCATGAGTGTCCTTAGCAGTTTGCAGTTATTGCCATGTTCTGCTATGTCAGAGAGTGGAGAGTTGGTGACAGTCTCTACAGTGCTTAGCAGCCTGCAGTCTGATTGTGGCTGAAGCTTGTTTGCTGTATGCAGTTAGGACAAGCCAATTTTCTGAAAAACTTTTAGCAGAAATACCATTTTTTTGTCTTGACAGGAAGTACCACGTGTGGTACAAAGGGGTGTGGTTTAGTGGGGAAATATTGGTGGTAGGGATTGGACAGGATGATCTTGGAGGTATTTTCCAACCTTGTTGATTCTATGATTCCATGATTATTTTTTCCTCCTGCAATAGTTGGCTCTAGAAGATGAGGGGCTTGCAGTTACAGGCTGTTTCCTCTTCCACAGTTCAAATAATAAGACGTGTCTGCCTTATAACTTGCCATATGCTTCACCTGTCTGCGCCCAACAGCTCACCTGTCTTTACAAAGAATGTTGGTATTACCATTTTCCACCAGGTTTGCATTGCATGTACTCTTAGATCATTGTGGCTTGAGCAATATGGTGGCATGAATCTAACAGATTTGGGCATCAAGTGCACATTCAATTGTACACTGTACAGCTTTCAATACTGCATCAGGCGATGGGGCTGGCATTTTTTACTGCTTCCTGCTGGAAGTGGTCTTACTGTGTATCAGTAACGTCAGTCCATCCCATCCTCTTGTTTAGCTTACTAGATCTGAATTGTTCATTAATAAACACGTAAGCAAATCCACGATAAAACAAAACAAAACAACTTAGGTGCTATTTGAGGTGACTTATTAAATTAGCTATTTGCTTTATAAACTAAGGCCACAAAGACTTTGTGCTCAGAGTAGAGCTCAGGCAAATGGATTTCTTCCTGGCTGTTCCCATGACTTAGATGACCTGCAGCATGACAATGCATGTGATATCAGAGTGTGATATCTGGATCTGTGATGTGTAAAGGGCATCTTAGTAAGCTGGTGGGCTAAGCAACTGGTATTAAAGGGTAGTCAGCGTCACGGGAAAGTACTAGTGGATGTGCACTCCTATAAATAGTTTACAACATCTATAAACATTTTGTAACTCTGGTAATCATAAAAACTTGTTCTGGCATGTGTGCCTCATTGTGTGCTGCTCTCTTAAATACTTGTGGAGTTTCCATTTATAGAGAAGTCATAGAATAATAACTAGACATTAAACTGAGAAAATAAATTCCTCAGCAGGAAATCTGAGGGCTGGCATCATTATGGAGCTTGGATGCTTAATGTTTCTTTATTCTTGTTTTGAGGACTCGTCCTGGTTTTTGGAACTTGTCTTTCAAATACTCAGCAGTAAAATTATTTTTGGGCTGTGGGGTTAGAAGTAAACTGAATGTCTCTGTTGCTATTTGTGGAGCCACAGTCCAAACAAATTAATCTCATACATTTGCAAAATCAGATCCCAGTGTCTGGTTAATAACTTTACTGATCTGTGCCGTCCTGATCAAAGCGAAGTGTTTACAGGGTTGTTGGCATTTTTTTAGTTGCTGGAGGTCACAGGTACTGGGACATGACTACTCTTACTTTCACAGAAGTTGGAATCCTTGCCAAGTCCTACATTGATCAAGGAAGGCTTATTCCAGATGACATCATGACACGGCTGATGCTGAATGAGCTAAAAGGTCTAGATCGATACAACTGGCTGCTGGATGGTAAGTTACCATATCGGATATTACTATGTAAGGAGAGGAAATACGCACTGGAAAGCGTGGTTTGTTTGATTCACTAGTGGATACCTAACCTTTGGCACCACCCTCGAGGTACGGTATTTTACAGTGTATGTTGCCAGCTTCTGCTGAAACATTTGGCAGCTCCAGTTTCTTCAGCTGCAAAGTGCACAGGATGCATGCTGCTTTCAGAGTGTTAAAGGGACATTAATTTATGTTGAAAAGGCCCTTTTACTGAAAAATAACATTTCAAAACTGGTAATTCTATTAATTCTTATTTCCCCTCCAATAACAGAGACTTCTTTTAAAATATGGATTGAGAAGTGTTTTTTTAAACAGTTCTTGGAGTGTGGAACACTTGAAGAAAGGGTTGAAGTAGTTATGTAAATAGAAAAGTAGGCAAGCATGTGAAACAGCAGTAAGTGCCATGTGTAATAAATCACTAACAAAACCAGTGCTCAGGAATAAATCATTGTTCTTAAAGACCTCCTTTAGACCAAATTGCATGTGGATTCTTCAGTGTAAGCTTATAGCTTCAGCATTCACACTAGGGAGAAAATATGTTTACCACAGTATCATGGACTGATGGGTTCTTGCTACCCCAGCCCCTGGGAGTACAGTTGGTTGTGCATCACAAAGATAGGGTCTAGTGTGGATGTGTGTGTTTTCACATTCTGACCACAACTTGTCTCAGTAGATAAAACTGAAAAGTTTTTGATGTGGCTTTTTGTTTAGAGGGAGTGAAACATCCATACTGCTCTGTGTTAGTAATAAACAGAAGACCAGGGAAAATGTGGGCTCTCTCTGGAAGGAAACAGAAGACCTAATTACCTATGATATAAAGGCTGAGATACTCCGTTTTTTTGCTTTAGTCTTCAATGGCAAGTGCTCCAGCTACACTCCCTAATTCACAGAAAGCAAAAGCAAGGTCAGGGAGAAGAACAGTGGATATACTGTAGAAGATTGGTTTTTAGGCCATCTAAGGAATCTGAGGATTCATGGGACCTGATGATATGTATTCAATGGTCTTGAGGGGACTGGTGAATGAAGCTGCTAATCCACTGTGCATTGTATCTGAGAAGTCATGGCAGTCTGGTTAAGTTCCCCCTGACTGGAAAAAGGGAAACTCCATCCTGTAGTGCTTTATTATACTTCTTCAGTGCCATGAACCTTATATTTTTATCTCAGAGGCGCTGTGAAGAGCTCCTCAGCAACACATGCAGCATGCAAACTAAGCTGGAGGAGTTGGAAACCGTGGTGCAGTTAGAAAACTATGATGTAATTGCTGGCATGGAAATGTGATGGGATGAATCGCACAACTTGAACACTATAATTGAGGGCTACATGCTTTTCAGAAAAAACACGCAGGGAATAGTGGGGGAATTGCCCTTTATGTTATGAAATTGAGATTGTACAGAGCTATTTCTGAGAAACAGCCATGATCAGGTTGAGAGCTTGTGGGTTAAAATTAGGGATTAGACCAATAAAGGGCATCTTGTGCCTATGGGTTTATAATAGGCTACCTGATCAAAGGGAGCCTGTTGATGAGGCCTTCTTGCTTCAACTACAAGAAGCATTGTGGTTGCAGGCTCTTATCCTCATGGGGTATTTGAATCACTGGAATGCCTGCTAGGAAAGCAACATGGAGGCCTGCAAGCAATCCAGAAGGCTCCTGTAGCCTGCTGGAAACAAATTTCTGGTTCAGACATTAGGCTGTCTGACCAACCAGGTGAGAAGTGCTAATAGATCCACCAGTGGAAATGACATCATTAAAGAGGTTAAGACTGGAGGCAGCCTGGTACGTAGTCACTGGGCCTGGGTTGAGCTCATGATCTTGAGGAATATGGGCCTAGCAAGAAGCAAGGTCAGGATCCTGAACTTGAGAAGAGTGAACTTCCATCTGTTTGATTAACTATGAGATTCCCTGGGAAGCTGTCGTTAAGGACAAAGGAGCAGAGTAGAGCTTGCGCATGTTTAAGGAGAGCACAGAATCATAGTACAAGAGATCTCCCTCTCCCAGCACACCCAGTCAAACGGGGGAGGCAGGAAACTAGCATGGCTGAGTGGAGAGTTACTGGTCAAACTGAGGGATAAGAATATACATAAGAAATGTACAGGTAATGGAAGTAGGGACAGAGTCTGGAAAGAATAAAAGGATGCTGTCTGGACATGCAGAAATAGGATCAACAAAGTCAAGGCCTCAGTGTACTCACAGTCTCTGGTAGATATATTGTTTTTAATGCAAAGGGAGAAAATAAGAAAATAAGAGCAGTCCCGAGTGTTTGTAGATTGTTCTGTTCCTCTTAGAATGAGCTGCCTATGGCTTTTATTGTTCAAAATATGCATATTGTGGTGTGGGTTTTTTTTTTTTTTTTTTTTTTTTTGAGTAAATTGGTGCATAGTACATATGAATATGGGGTATTTTTGCTTGTTTGTTACACTTCTGGGAAGATGCCTATATGAACTGAGGAAAAGGAAGCTGGAAGACATTCAACAATAGTGCCATGAAACTGAAAAATCTGCTGAAAAAATTATCAGAAAAATCTGATGTCTCTTTAGCCTTCACAGCATGATAATACACATTTTCTATCTGACCAGCAGTTTCTCTACTGTTGAAATCCAGCAAATTCTCATAACTCTGGATACTTATGGAGTTATTTCCTTCATAAAGGTTTCCCTAGAACAGTTGCTCAGGCACAAGCCCTGGATAAAGAGTGTCAAATAGACACTGTGATTGACCTAGACGTACCATTTGAAACCATAAAATGTCGTCTCACTGCACGTTGGATCCACCCTAGTAGTGGCAGAGTCTACAACCTTGAATTCAGTCCCCCCAAAGTGCAGGTAAGCAATACACATATTGATACTGGTGCTAAATAAATGTTGCCCTGCATTTGGAATTGTAATGAAATATTGATGTACATTATTACAAAATACAGTAGTTCAGAAGAAAAAGATTTGTTTTGTCTCTTTAGAGCACAGAAACTCTCTGCTAACACACTGCCTCTTGGAGAATGCCCAGGTAGAAGCTCAAGTTCATGGGCAATTTGCTTGCCCTCTGCAGAATGAAACACCATGATGCCAGCTCCTCATACTGTTTCATAAGCTCGTATTATTCACTGATTCATGTGAGCTGGGTGTCATCTTAGTCTGCTTTGCAGTTACTAACTGTGCAGTCTGAAATGCCATTTCCCATCCTCTAGAGGACTCATTTTTTGTATCCAGGGTGCGCATTAAGTAATGTACCAGTCACAGATATCCACTTGATACTTTTCCTGATTAATTACCATTTAATCAGGGTATTGTTAGAGAGGCAGTTGTTATATTGTTATATTGCAAAATTAGATATAGGAACTTGGTAATATGAGAAGCTTCTCAACAGAACAAAAAGCTTAAAGCTTGAGGTGTCGTAAAACAAGAACAGTAAGCTAATAATATAATGGATATACATCATTACCCTAAATTTTTTTTAGGTACTCAGTTCTGTATCATTCTTAACTCTAAATAACTTACCTGTTGCAGCATCCCATTTTATCTGGAAGTTCTATTAAGTTGCATCACAACTATAGCAGGCTTTGTATTTTTGAGGTTACAGTGTTGCAGGAAAAGAATCCAGTGAAATACCAGTGAAATTGCTTAAAGTGAGCAATTGCAAACATTAAGTATAGTTTAAAACTGGAATTTAAATTATGGTTACTTTTAATTGCAGAAGAACATAGACAAGCAGCAACAGAGCATTACCAGATATAGCAGAGTGGGTTCCAGCTATAAAAGCTCTACTATGCACTCCACTCTACCTATCACGTAATTAGTGAAGGAAGCGTATCACAACATATTAAAGTAGTTTGTGGAATGACACTGAACAGGTGCAATGCAGTTGTCTGTGTTGTCTGGTAGCTCTGAAAAAATTTCAGCCGCCTAATTGCTCATCTGTACAATCAATGAATGCACAGATGTTATAGCTATGAGATGTACCAGTGCTTGGCTATGTAGTTATTACACCACAGCAGAAAAGATGCTTACCCATATCCTAGGCTCACTTACAAAACTCCAGCAGAGCAGATCTCCAGAAGGGATCCTTCCCCACTGGTAGCCAGCTCTTAAATGGGTCTAGGAGAAGTGGAGCCAGGCTCCAACCCTTCCGGCAGCACAACTGAATTGCCTTCACCTGTGCTGCCATGGCTGACCCAGTGCTCGCCTCAGGTGATCAATCAGAGGTTCAGACTGTGACTCAGCAGTTCCCATACACTCTTCAAAACTAAAAGACTGTGGCTTGAGAGTTCATACAAAACTGCAGTCCTGATACTTAACAGGTGCAACTAAAGTACTACTATGGTTGCCTTCACAGATGTTAGATAGAAACCCCTGAATATTTTAAATTATTGTATAATATAAAGAAGGTAAGTTTGACCATGTAATCTCTAATATCTCTAATATCAGATATGTTCTGGAACAAGTTTTCTTCATGCCTTCATAAACAGAGCAGCTTATTCAACACTGACATTTATCATTGGTTCTTGAAACTGCCAAAAAACAAGCAGGAAGAAGGAACATTTCTGTTGTCTAACAGACTTTGTACTTAGAAGATAACTAATATTTCCACTTCAGATGTCAGATTAAACTTGCCTTTTGGAACAAATGAACATAATTGAGGGTTTAATTAGTATGTAAGAAGGAACAGAGAGTCCCCTATGTATGGTGTGTTACTCTGTAACTAAGTGCACAACTCAGTGCAGCTAAGGAGATGCATTTAAAGCTGCTAGTTAATTCTTAACGAGGTTCCTGTATCTTCCACTGTGCCAGTGACTGATGATTTCCTTGGCTGTTGCTTGTTTCAATACTTGTAAGCACACTAACCACTTCAAGCCCTTCGCGAAACTGGTCTGAAATGTGTACAAGAGTAGGAATTGTCACATAGTAAGCCCATGCCTCTGCTTACTGAACTGTAGAATTGTTTCTGTTGGCTTCCATGTTATATTTTGCTGTCATATTTATGTGTTGCTAAACATTAAGTCTTCTGCAGTGTGACTTAAAAAGATTGTGAATTTCATTCTCCATTTTGCTGTCATCAAACTAAGGTCAAATTAGCTTCTTGCTTGCTTGCCCTTGTGCATGAACATATTACCAACCACCTTCTTCTTCCTCTTAAATCCAAAACTCAGCATCACATGAGCTTCTGTGAAGAAAATTAACTCTGTCCCAGCCAAAACCATATCAGAAGGCTCTGTCTACATGTTTCAATATTCAGCAAATGTTCCAGAGACCTAATCAGTAAAGTAATGATAACCTCATGTTCTCTGTAAATACTCTGAAAGCATTTTTATAGTAATTGAATATCTTGAAAGTCAACTTCTTATATTCCAGGTAAGATAGAGATGGTAGCTTTTATCTTTATAAGCAGAAACCTACACTTGGACTACCTGAAATCTGATCATAATTTAAATGAAAAAATACACAAACAGAAATATACATTAATGTTTGCTTTTAACCAACGCATTTGGTTTTAAACTATGATTAGGGCATTGATGACATTACTGGAGAGCCCCTTGTTCAACGAGATGATGATAAGCCAGAGACGGTTACCAAGAGGCTGCAGGCTTACGACGCACAAACAAAACCTGTTCTAGAATACTATCGGTAAGTAGTAAAATAACTATGCTTCTTCCACATTAGAACAGCAAGGAAAAAATCCCTCTAGTTGTAGAGTTCTTAAAACAGTCAGTGTGGTATGAGTAGCAGTGTATCTTTCACTGCCTTTTTAAGAAATAAAAATAGTACAATCAGTATGATTTTGACTGTTGCATGAAACTTTTTGATGATCCAGCTTAGCACAACAGCCTTTCATTGCAGCTGCTTTTAGCTTTACACATAATGCTAGGCATTATTGAGTGAATTATATTAGTGATATGAGTGATGTAGGTCTATTTAGTAGGGTAACAGAGACAGTGCCTTTCTTGGAAACCTTCACAGTATTTTTAATTTCTGCATGTGTAGAAGTCCTTGTAATACAACAAGGGGTCAAGAAACTGATAAATAGAAAAGTTGTTAATAAGAATTTAGAGGTGTCTGTTCTAAGAATAGGATTGTTACATACGAAGCTAACAACACACTCAGAACAACGAGCTGTTTGAGAATAATACCATTTGCACTGTGGAAGAGTAGAACTGCATGTAGTCTCTCCTGATGGTAAGCTGGTCTGCTCTGCTTTATTTAAATTGCTTTATCTATGTTAGTAATAAATAGGTTAATACTTGATCACTGTATAGAGATTTGTCATCTTACCTCACCTACGGTAAACACAATAGACTTCTTTTAAGAACATCCTGAAGTAACTGTCCCTTCCTCTATCTCTTTGTATCTACCACCCTTTATTATGCTCTAGGAAAACTACTTAATAGAAAACTAGGAGCTCTATCTTTTGGATTGGTTCAGTTTTAGAAAAATAGCTGTTTTCAATCTAGAATTTTTTTTTCCTGACTAGTAACTTTCTGAAGTTTACAAGCTTGTAAATAGGCCTAATGACACACTGCAGATAAGACTAGCTACTAGAGTTCCAAACATTCTCATTGTGCCTGGTTTGATTTTCGAGATCTGACTCTAAAATGCAGTCAGTTGGATGACTGCCATATAGGATGTGCTGTATGGCTTGACTGCTTCTTAAGTTTTACCTCTAATGAGTTTTATTAATTGTTCTGTAGACAACTACCAGTTTTTGGAACTGATATGGCCAATAGTATACTGTCTGAAGAACACACTAATGCATGTAGACCTGCATTCCCAATGTTCTGGTTGCTCTTGGCATTAAATCACATACACATTAGTACACTTTGGCCAGGGCAATCTTAAAGCGAGGCAGGGATCCTGGAAGGCTGAGGCAATTTGACTTTTATAATACTTTTTTCTTTTTTTTTCCTCAGGGAAAAAGGGCTGTTGAAATCCTTCTCTGGAACAGAAACTAATAAAATCTGGCCACATATCTATGCTTTCCTCCAAACCAAGTTGCCGGATGTGAGCCAGAAAGACACTGCCACTCCCAGGTGAAATTAGGTCTAACTTCTGCTCACTGTCATAGCACACACACGATTACACAAGATTCAGCAATCAATAATTACTCTTAAGTAGTGTACCAGACTGATCAATAATTAAAGTCTACTGTTGGCCCTAAATTACATTATGATAAAACTATGTCTTCTCTGGTTCTCTCTTCAACACTGTATTTGTTTTTAATTTTAAAATATGCCTGATTTTCATAATATAGTAATTGACTTTAACAAAAGCAAATACTCTTGTGTCTCTGTTAATCAGAAAATAATCGTGTTTGGTAATAATAGTGAAGGAGATAAGTTTCAGAATATAGCATACAGAGGATTTTTGCTGATTTAATCATTCACTAACTGCAGTGTGAAGCAGTGACAAAAGGTATGGAAGGAAGTTTCTTGAATGCTTGACTTGTGGCCTCCCAGAAGCTGTGAGGGACTGTGGCTGCAGGAAGCACTTTCAACCCCAAACTGGCACAGGACAGTTTGGGTTGGAAGGGATCTTTTAGCAGTCATTTAGTTCAAGCTCTCTAACACGCAAGGACATGTTTCATTTTATCAGGCTGCTGAAAGCTCTGCTCATTCTGACTTTGAACACAGCTTCCTTGGCAACTTCTTTCAGTTGCTCAGCCTTCGTTGGGGGGGAAAAAATAAAAATTATATACAGTGGTAGCTTAATCACATAAAATGATAACATTCCTTAGCTTTACTGGTTTTGCTGGGCTTAAGCTACCCTTGAGACTTAGTGGATGATTTGCCCTATTGCTGTGGTTCTATTTCTGCCTTTGGCTATATTATTGGCATGAAAAATTTTGAATGACTTACAAATTCATTTGGTAAAGCTCTGTCTTTGAGCAGCTGTGCAAAGCTTCACTAGTAAAAAGAAAGCAGACACTGAGTAGTTAGTGTAATTTTGTAAGCCTGTAGAGATACACTGGTCAAAATTGCCTATCTTTCCCTTTGTCTTTCAAAAAGCTGCTCTTCCCAAATGCCTGTGATAAGATTTCCCTTTGTCAAATTAGTTTCTTTAATGGAGCAAATTTTAATTTAGCAAGCATAGTTTTAATGACTTCATGCTGCTAATTCATGTCTCTGACCAGCACTTTTGTTAATTTATTCACTAAGTAACTGGATTCACAAACCTCTATATACTATGCTTTTAACAGTCCAGATAATGCAGATGTTGCTATTCTTCAGTGGATTTTTTTTTAAATGTTCACCAGTCTGATTTTCAAGAAGGATGAAACAACTCTGTCTAAGCAATGTCTGAGGTAGCCGCCTTGTCTTGCTAATGCAGGTCTGTCTCCTGTTGCACTGACTCTTATTAACTGCAGAGCTGTCATACCTTTGTCTGCGTGTTCATGTACAGCTTTACTATTGTCAGTACTGAGCAAGTCTTGAAGAAGATGGGTGCTGTAGAGTTTGTAAAACCTTCTCATTACGTTTCTGCTTATTTCTACAAAAAGAAACCATGCTTGCTTTCTTGCCCTCCATATGGTTTGAGACCTTTCCCCCACAAGTCAAGAAATTTTAATTACACATAACAAAAATAACTTTCAGTGTATCACAGGTTGGTAAATAAATGTGGCTCTACTGCTAGTAGTAGCAATTACAAATCACTGTGCACTATACATTGTCCTTATAACACATGTATGTAGCAAGAATTCAGTTAAGGAACAATCTGAAGCTGCTAGTTTCCCTTAATTATTAACTTAGGAGGCAGTGTTCACTTTTTCTACTCTGGAGCAACTGTCAAATTAATATGCTTTATATATAATTTCCATCTGTGACAGATCTCCTTTATCCTCAGTTTGTCAGCAAAGAAACTGGTAGGGAACAAACACTAGGTACAGGAAAAGGTACTGCCAGTTGAGCTGAAGTTCTCGTTTCTGCCACTGCAATTACACTAATAATGTAGTATATACTGTAAACTTAAGACTTGCTCTATTTTCAGCCCACAGCTGCAAACAAGTCTCAGAATAGCTTTAGCCTGAATCTGTCTGAATCAACTGTAAGTATACTGGCAAAGCTACTAGGAGTCTAGATACTTTCCCAACCTTACAATTAAATCAATACTGTTAAAGTACCTGGAAACCTATAGCACTGTTTGAAATGTAAGCTATTTTCATTGGCATATTTGAATTACAGTATAGATTTTTATATGTAGAACTGCTAAAGCAGTAGTAAAGCAGGATAGGATTCTTGAATGCAGAGGTTCTGTGGGACATCTTAAAACAGGGTTTAGATTTCTAGCTCCTAAAACAAACCATTTAATAAATTTTCACTTTAACTGCTTAAGCTGACCATTTTGTTAACTCACTTTAGTACCATATGAATTACCTTTGAAACTCTGAAAGATGTTATCATGACATAGCTTTAAATATGAAGACTGCTCTGAAAGTAATGCCTACTACTTTATTATGTTGCACTTATTATGTTGGTGGTGGTATGACAATAGAAGTTGAACCTCCCCACCAGTATTCCATTACATTTTGTTGCTGTGTGACAAACGGCAGCAGAGGGGCAGTCTGACAGTCTGACAGAATGGCATCTGACATGGAAGTGCATATGAAGCAAAGGTGTGTCACTGAATTCCTCCACAAAAAAAAAGAAAAAAAAGAAAAAAAAAAAAAAGAAAAAAAAGAAAAAAAAGAAAGAAAAAAAAAGAAAAGAAGAAGAAAAGAAGAAAAGAAGAAAAGAAGAAAAGAAGAAAAGAAGAAAAGAAGAAAAGAAGAAAAGAAGAAAAGAAGAAAAGAAGAAAAGAAGAAAAGAAGAAAAGAAGAAAAGAAGAAAAGAAGAAAAGAAGAAAAGAAGAAAAAAAAAAAGAAGAAAAAAAAAAGAAGAAAAAAAAAAAGAAGAAAAAAAAAAAAAGAAAAAAAGAAAAAAAAGAAAAAAAAGAGAAAAAAAGAAAAAAAAGAAAAAAAAGAAAAAAAGAGAAAAAAAGAGAAAAAAAGCTGCACCCACTGATATTCATCAACACTTACTAAACATTTATGGAGCTCAAACAGTGAATGCAAATACAGCGAGGCAGTGAGAGCCACTTTTCAGCTATGGTAACTGTGAGTCACCTTCAATGGCACTGATTTTTAAAAGGACTACGTGCAGGCTAGTGAAAATGCAAAGTACATGGTGGAGACTGTGTTGAAAAAAATAGTGTTCCAGTAGCTATTTTGTGGCTAAGAATGTGTTCTTTCAAATAGTGTTATTATGCTCTTTTATCTATTGCAGTTTCCACAGAAGTAAGTATGAGGCATTACTTTCAGAGCAACCTATATATTTTCCTAGCCCTTGTACGTAAAGTTCCCCCTGTCCCTTCATCAAATACTTCTCTCCATGCAGCGCCTTGGCTTTAAAAAACTAGCTTAAGTTTTTTTTAGAAAAATGAGAATCAGAACCTGAGGGCATACAGCTTGGCACTCATACATAGACAAGTGTTGATTATGTTTTAGGACAAAACCAAGTTTTAATGAAGCACAATGTGACATTTAAATCCCCTTTGTAGAGGTAGAAACCCAGTGTTTTAACCTAATCCATCCAGATATGAAATACTGATACCAGATATTGATTTATTGCTATTAGTGATAACCGAATTTGAGAGCTTATAATGTGAACAAGGTAGCGTAAATACAGTTGTGATCTCCAATTCAGAGTAAGACATCCACATCTGTAATAAGACAATAGCAGATTCTAACAAGAATCTACTGCTTCTTGTAAACATTGTATTTGTGCAGATTCTTTTATCATACTTTGATTTCTAACGTTATGAAAGGCAAGGTTAGTAGCAGAAAACACATCCAGTTTCACATTCAGCAATATGAGAACCCTGCTCTTCAAGGACAACCAAAAACCTAGCAGCACATTTTTCAAACAATATTACAAGTTTTTCTGAATTTCCCGCCCCCCCCCCCACTCAACCCACCCCCCAACAAAAAACAACAACAAATCTGACACCAAAAATAAAGTGCAGTACCCAGAAAAATAAGTGTCAAGAAAATAGCCATGTTCTTTCCTTTGTTAAGAAAAAAAAAGGTACTTGGCCTCAGTCTTAACAATGCTATACTGTGTCCATCATTTTGGATTCTTCTTCATCTCTTTGTATCACAGAGTTTAAACTGCAGACATTTGTATTTATGGAACCTTGTAGATCACCTGTGTTCTGCAACAGATGAAAAATCAACAGCTTAATTCTCCACAACTGCAGGGAGAAAGGAGAACTTCTAGCTTGAAGACAGAGTCTTCATATTAGACAAACATGCAATACTAATAAAATAAGCTTACAAAATTCATTACCCAATACTACTGCACTGTGTTAAAGTGCCTTTTTTCTTTTTTTTAAAATTTAAGTTAGCACAGATTGTGTTTGGTGTATTTCTAGCACTGTAGACTGTACATTAACTAGAATTTAACTATGGAGCTTGTCTGAAAAGTACTTTAATCAAATTAAAACTAAAGCTAAGTAGTTTCAACTATATCTCCTTCTCTAATATCTGATTTTCGAAGATCTTTTCAGTTGCTTCTTCATTCCAAGATATGGCCATCACTAGCAGTCTAACAAAACATGTAAGCAACCTTAAGCTTTCTTCTGTGACAACAGGCGATCTTCAGGCTTCACTTAGCTGAAGGATCCTATGAATTGCATTGATTATTTTAACCTAAAAGCCTCTTCCCCTGCTTGTGGTAAGGTGTGAATACAATTCTATCATTGCATCAGCTTTATGATGCAGCATTTCTTTTTCAACAAAAATAGAAAGGTGCTGAACATTTGCTTTTCACCTTCTCCTGATGGAGAATCATAGGATCACCAAGATTGGAAAAGACCTCCAAGATCATCTAGTCCAGCCATCCACCTACCACCAACACTTCTCCACTTCTTCTAATGCCCAACCTGAACCTACCCTGGTGCAACTTGAGGCCATTGCCTCTAGTCCTATAATTAGTTACGCAGAAGAAGAGGCTGACCTCCACCTAGCCACAACCTCCTTTCATGTAGTTGTAGAGAGCTATAAGGTCTCCCCTGATCCTCCTCCAGACAAGTTCTAACAGGTGAAAAGAGTATATATATATGCCTTGTATATTGATAATACTGGAAGTTATATCCTGAGTGCTCTATTCTAGGAATAATTCTCTTTAATTGCAGAAAGATACAACTTCTCAACATAGGAATTAATCCCAATTTGGTTAAGTTCATTTCTAGAAGTAATAAACTTACCTGTGACAAAGATGTCAGCTGTTCTACAAGACTAGGATTGATAGTGGGATTATATAGTAAGATAGCCTGAAAGCTATCTGATTGCGACCAGATTCTTACTCTTGTCTTGAATGCCTCAAGTTCACTTTTAAATGCCTCAAAATAGCCTTCTCCTGTCTGCAAAAAGAAAAAACGAAGTATCCTCATTTCAAACAGATTATCTTATGAATTGCAAACCTTTTGTTTACTGAAAAAGTAATGAATGTCAGCCAAAAAAAAAAAAAAAAAAGAATCATACCTAAATTTTCACTAAGACTAACTGTAGTACTTAAACACAAAAGCAAAGTCATTTATTCATCTAAAGACATGTAAAAAGAAATCTCATTTTAGCCCTTCTTTTATTAACTTTAGAAAAACAGGTGCCTGTTCTAACATTCTGGCCAAGAGAAATGCACAAGTTGACTCAGTCTGCAGAACTTCTTAAAGGATTTGACTGAGCTCCTATTAATGTGGTATTATGACCCATCAGACATGAGTAACTGAATACAGTCAACAGCAAACCAGTTTGAGTCTTTCTACATTTCTTCTGCATTTTTAAGATAGGAATTACAGCAAAATATCTATGAAGAACTGCTAATAAAACACGTCCCCATACTACTAAGTGAATAAAATACTTAGCATCTTGCAGCTAGGAAAAAAACTACTCTAAAATACTGGTTCCTTGTAAAATGTTAAGAGTTTCTACTATCATTATACAGTCACTTACTTTGGCTTTTTGGAAAAATAGACGAAAACAACCTCTTGGATCCACATTGCAGTTTTTGGCAATTTCAATAATAAACTGCATTACTACTGCTTGGTGTGCTACTTGTTCCATCAGAGCTCTTTTCTGGGAAAAAAAAAAAAAAAAAGAAAAAAGGTTAAAAGTTAAAATTTAAATACATTTCCTGTAACTATGTTTATACAGTTCACCATTAATTTATTTCATTATCTAAAGAGATAAGAACTGAGATCCACACAAGTAAGGGGACTGTTACTTCACTGAAACTAGACCTAATGCAACAACATTTTATGTAGCTTTTTCCTCCAATTAGAGTAAGCAAGAGGGGAACACTTGAACAGCTAATGAAGTTGGACGACTTTTCCAAAGTGCAAGTGGGAAACTGTATACTTTCAAACAATTTAAAGATCTTCATACCTGTTCAGCTTCTAGATGAAAGCACCATAACATGAGATATTTAGATGTTTCTTCACTTACAAGATATGGGTGGTCAGACAGAAACCTTTGACTATCATCCCATCTTCTCATCATACCTAATTAGAGAAACATAGGTTGAGATACTGAAACGGATACGTGATACAATGCAGCAAATCAAACAATCTTTTGAATTGGAAGGGACCCTAAAAGGTTATCAAGTCCAACTCCCCTGCAATGAATGGGGACATCTAAATCTAGATCAGGTTGCTCAGAGCCTGGCCAGCCTGGCCTTGAATGTCTCCAGGGATGAGTCTTCCACAGCATCTCTGGGCAACCTGTTCCACTGCTCACCACCCGATTTTAAAAAACTTCTTATGTCCAATCTAAATGTCCCCTCTTTTAGTTTGAAAGCATTTCCCCTTGTCCTATCACCACAAACCCTGCTACAGAGTCTGCCTCTTTCTTACATCTCCTTTTTAGATACTGAAAGGCTGCTAACAAATCACCTCCAAGCCTTTTCTTCTCCAGGCAAAACAGCTCCAGCTATCTCAACCTGTCCCCATATGGGAGGCATTCCATCCCTTGGATCATTTCTCTGGCCTTTTTCTGGGTGCACTCCAACAGGTCTATGTCTGTCCTGTACTGAGGGTTCCACATCTGGATGCAGTACTCCAGGATAAGGTCTCACCAGAGCAGAGGAGCAGAATCACTTCCCTCAACCTGCTGGGCACACTTCTTTTGGTGCAACTCAGAATACAGTTGGCTTTCTAGGATGTCAAGGCACATTACTGGCTCAACTCCAGCTTGGCCACTCATGCTCTACCCTTATATCCCACAACTCGTAGAGATTGTGAACATTACCATGACACAGGTGCAGCACCTTGCATCTGGATTTGTTAAACCTCATGAGGTTCACCTGAGTCCATTGCTTGAGCCTGTCTAGGTCTCTCTGAATGACATGCCATCCCTTGAGCACACTGACTGCACCACACAGCTTGGTATCACCTGCAAACTTTCTGACAGCGCACTCAATCCCACTGTTGATGTAATTGATGAGGATGTTAAAGATCACCAGTCCCAATACTGACCCCTGAAGGACACCACTTGTTACTAGTCTCCCATCATTACATTAAGGTATTGACCACTACTCTGTGGTCATACCCACCAACATACCCACATACTGTGGGTATGATCTCACAATCAGTTACTTGACCACTGAACAATCCATCCATCATATCTTTCCAGTTTGGAGAAGGATGTTATGGGGAACGTTGTCAAAGGCCTTACTGAAGTCCACACAGATGACAGCAATGGCTCCACATCTATTGATGCAGCTACACCATCATAAAAAGTAATGAAGTTTATCAGGCATAACGTGCCCTTGGTGAAGCCGTGCTGACTGTCTCATATCACTTCCCTCTCTGCCACATGCCTTAGCATAGCTTCCAGAAGGACCTGTTCCATCATTTTTCCCAGCAATGAGCTGAGACTAACAGGTTGGTAGTTCTCTGGGTCATCTGTTCTACCTTTCTTAAAAATGAATACAACATACAGTTCTTTGCAGACACTGCAATCTTCACCTAATGGCCATGACTTATCAAATATCATTGAGAGACAGCTTTGGTGACTGTCAGTAAATTCTCTCAGGACTCTGTGAAACATCTTACCAAGACCCATATAGTTACGGATGTTCACGTTTCTCAGTTGGTCATGAAACTGATCTTCATGTACAGTAGGAGGGGCATCACTCCCACAGTTGCCACCTACTGAACCGTCCACACAAGAGCTATGTGTAGAGCACACACTAGTGAAAACTTATTATTAAGCAAAGTTATTCAGTACGTCAGCTTTCTCCTTGCCTGTTGTTACTAGCCTGCTTTTGTTGCTCACTAGGGAGTGCATGCCCTCCTGGACTTCCCTTTTCTGGTTGATGTACCTATAGAAACCTTTCTTATCCTTCTTTGTGTCCCTTGACAAGTCCAGTTCCAGTTGGGCCTTGGCCTTCCTGATTCCACCCGTACAAAGCCCAGCAGCATCCCTATACTCCCCCCAGGTTAGCTGTCCCTGCTTTCACTGCCTATGCATTTTCTTCTTGCTCTCCAGTTTGACCACCAGGTCTCAGTTCAGCCACACCTGTCTCTTGCCTTCCTTTCCTGACTTGCTACACCTGGGGATTGAGAGCTCTTGTGGCCTAAAGAAAGCTTCCTTAAACACCTGCCATGTCTGCTCTGCTCCCTGGTCCTTAAGGGCAGATTCCTAGGGGGTTTTGTTGACTAACTCCCTGAAGAGTTAGAATTTGGCTTTTCTGAAATCAAGCTTGCAATAAGTCTCAAGTAAGCTACTTGCATTTATACCCCTGTAGAGAATCACAGTTGCATCCCCAAGGATCATTAAGTCCAGCCCTTGGTTACAAGCAGGACTACTCAAAATTCAGACCTTATGTCTGAGAGTGCTACCCAAAGGCTTCTTGAACTCTGGCAGCTTGAGGCTCGGACCACTGCCTTGGGGAATCTGTTCCTGAGCATGCTTTTGGTCAAAGAACCAACTCCCATCTTGAGCCTCCCCAGATGCAACTTCATGCTGTTGTCTGGGAACTGCTGAATCACGGCCTGAATCTCTGACTGATCACCTGAGGCAAGCAATGAGTCAGCCATGAAGAACAGGTGAAGGCAATTCTCATGTGCCACTGGAAGGGATGGAGCCTTGCACCACCTCTCCTAGACCTATTTAAGAGCGGATTACCAGTGGGGAGAGGTCTCTTCTGGAGACTGCTCCTCTTAGAGTCTTCTCAGCAAGCCCAGGACAAAAGTAAGCCTTCCATTTATTCTTCTTTAGTGTGATAACCTGTTTAGACTAACTTTCTTGTATATTTCTTAATTATAACATCTATATATTCATTTATTATACAGCTGTTCTTCATATATCACTGCCAGTCAAATTATTTGCTGCCAAGCAGTACCACATATAGAAGCTTATACTCATCTGTCAGCATATAATTATAAATCTGCTAAATATGACCTAAACTAATCTTAATTCTGATGAATAAATATCTAAGAGAAACCAATGATGGATATTTCTGTTGGCTTTCTCAGCAGCAGAGATGTTCTACATAAATTCTTTATTACATTAAAGGCAGAGCAGGATTCAGAAAAGGGGCTTAGATTATATGGCTAGTGAAGTCTATGCTACCCCTTGGCAGCAGCAAGCACAGAATGAAGGAAGTAACGTACTTTTTCCTAGGAACATAATTATTTTGAATTAAAACAGCATGACTTTGAATTAAAGAGGTAAAAAAAAACCCACATTCTGTAGGAAGACTGTTTCTATAATTGCTTAATCTGAATTTAGACAAAGTAACTTTTCCTAACTCTTGATTAGGAAACACAATGAAGCCAGTTTGTTCTGCTGAAATTCATAGCAGAGAAGACATCTTCTAATTATGTCATCAGTATACTTAGCAGTCCAGATGTGCATATGGCCACTGCTATTTACGTACCTATGGCAGTATCATGCCTGAACTGGAGATTCCCTAGAAGCCAATTTTGTAAAACTCAGCTCATACAACCAGGTATATTTTGCCAACTCAGTCCAATTCTTGATTGTTCTGAAATTTGACATATGGCTATACTACATAATTGTCTGTAAACAGCCTGCAACAAAAAATGGGAAGTACTTAGCAGGACCACCACAGTTTCAGATTACAAAATGAGCTCTGCTTAGAGGTTCAACAATTACAATGGCACTAAAGTGACACCTAGTGGATAGATAAATACAATTTTAACAAACAAAACTCTGTGCACATACATACAGTATGTTTACCTTTAACAATCATTCTCTCTGACACTTAATAACCACCAGAAAGCCACTTCTTAAAAGGAGACAGCTTCAGACAATCCTAAGCTCACTTCTATACAGGATTTATGTATGTTTCCATGTATATCCCTAACTTCTCCAATGAACAGAAAAAAAAAAAAAAAAAAGTTACTTAGACTTTGGCTTTAAGACCTTAGGCTTAGTTTTTAGTTAATGGTCCTACTGATCACAGGTGTTAACAAGCAGTTTACACCTTAGTTCACTTTGAAATGATTATGTGTCTGATAAAATAAAGCTGGACAGTCTGCTAGTCAGGTGTTCCATTTGTTAGCACCTGTTCTGTTCCTTAATGAGTAAACCTTCAAGAAGTTCGTAGAGATTTGAACCGGAAAAGTTGGAAAAAGTGCACTTACCAAAGTGTCTAATCTTTTGTTCATGTTTTTTCATAAATGACTCAGCTGCATCTTCATCTTCTGTTTCTTTTCTTTTCTGATTAATAAAACTCTGAGGAAGACAAAGACTATAACTACTACAAATCTCCACACCTTTTTGCAATATACAGGACTATTACATGTCATCATGTTACCCTCTAAAGGAAGATTCTAATTTAAGAGTCACATCACATGCTTGAGAAGATTTTCTTTAAAACAAGCATATTGCCTAATAACAGACTTGGAAAGTTTCATCATAGTTCACTAGCCAAAAAAAAGTTCAGAGAAAAGTCAGTACTCAGGAAGGCACACAATGATTTTTGCACAAGAATAACGTACCCTGCAACCCTGACGCAGCTAAATCAGTCAAATTATGAGATATGCTAGATGTTCTTATTTCAAATTAAGTTGTGAAAGCAAAGCAGATATTCTACTTGAAAAGAGTTTTTGCTAAATAACCTATATTGCAGTTGTCAGTATTAAAAGCAAACTGTTTTATATTTGAGAATCTTGCAGAGAAGCAGACTCTTGGTGTGAAGAAGCAATTGTTTGACCCAGTTTGGTAATATATGTACTTTATGACCACACAAGTTCTGATCTCCACTTCTGGTAAGGAAATGTCATTTAGATGTGTAGCATGAGTGCAGCTTACTCCCTTCCATGAGGCAAAATAAAAGTAAACAAGAAAACATTTAACATGCCTTGTGATTTTGCACTAAAAACTAACAAGTGTGATGAAAAATGAGGGTAATGTATGTTTTGATGCACAATGAAATAGGCCATACCTTATTAAATACCTCCTTACTAACAAGATCTGTGTTCCATAGGTCCTGTCTTTCCCCTTGGTTTAGTGCTTCTTCTTTTCTTCGCCACTCCTCCTCTCTCCATCTCAGCTCTGCAACTTCAGTCTTTGATTGAGCATGTTCTTGATCGTAGGATTCTGCATTATGCAGTGCTAAGCTACCAAGTTTTTGCTGGGCTTCTGCAAGATTCCATGTGCATTCTACAGAGTGCTTCACAAACTCTTTCTCTTTTTGGCAGGCTAATTCGATCTCTTGGCTATAGGTCTGTGAGGAAAATCAGACGTTGGTTTTCCCTCCATAAAGAGCACAAGTTCACAAATTGTATAGGAGCAGACAGGCTTAAATGCTAAAGATAAGGCTGATCTGGAAGGCATCTCAGATGCAGCATTCTATCTGCAGGAGTGATTAAGTGTGGCTTAGTACAGGTGCGATTTTAGGATGACATTTCTTCCTCAAGCTATATTAATTTTATAAGTCTATTAGCAAAATCTTGAATCGAGTACTGCTATCAGTAATATTTATACAATCTGAAGACTATTTCTGACACAGTTGAAAGGTTCTCCTGTGATCTCCCTCTGGCTGGAATGCTAGCAACAGACAACTAAGAGAACCCTTGGATAAATACTTTGAACACACACTTCTTAGAAGTATCAATTTTGTGATGTAGGATAACAACAGTAAAGTAACTGCCTGCATTCCAATGCAGAGTAGTTCAACAGATGGCCAACATCTTTCTTTGAACTGACAACTGAAAACAATGCAAGTTATGAAGTGGCAGAGGCCCAATGCAAGCATACTCTTTTTGATCAAATCTATCAAAGACACTGTGACTCGTAGCTAGGAGAGAATGACCTCTTCAGCACCAGCACTTACATTGCTTCCAGATGTGTGCTGGAAGTTTCTGCTCAGAAATCCAGGAGTGCTGGGAGTACACCCCGCACTGTGCCTTCCCACCCCTCTCCACACATATTCATCCCTCAGCTCTCGGGGGCCACCTTATAAAGCCTGTGCTATGAAAATGTCTGACTCAGAGACAAGAAGGCCAACGCAAACTGAAAGCATACATGGGGGGAGTCTCTTCTGCCTCAAAGTTCTGTGCCAACTCTCTGGAGCGTTTCCCTTCTCAGAGATGAAAACCTCGCTGTTTGGAAGACTCGGTAACGGCTGCTACGTGTGATGTAGGCTGATGACACAAGAACGCATAGAACTCACGGCAATGAACTTATGGAGGCCGGCTTGCAGAAAAGCACACAGGCCACACACCCGGCGTTCAGACACTGACGAGGGCATCGCTCCGGAGCGGCTCTCCCCGCGCAACTTACCAGACGTGAAACTGTTACCCGCGGGCAGCGCCGGCCGCCAGCCCCCACCCTCCACCGGCTCGCTCCGGCCTCAGGCGCTCCCGCCCGCCCCGCCCCACGGCGCGCCCCCCCCCCCGCCTTCGCGGCCGCCTCCCCCCGACAGGCCAGAGCCGGGCGGGGCGGCGGGGCCGGCGGCGCTAAAGCGCCCCGCGACGGCCGGGGAATTGCGCCACCATGGGCTGCGGCGGTGTGCGACGCCGGCAGCTCGGTGCGTACCTGCAGGCGCTGTCGGGAGCCCGGAGACAGCTCCCGCTGCTCGTCCTCTTCCACCGCGGCGCTGCCGTCCCGGTACCGCGGGAGCCACAGCGCCATCCTGGCTGCGGGAACCGCCGATCGCCGCCCCCGGCCGTTCGATAGCTCACCGGAAGCGAGGCCGCGCACCACTTCCGGCAATAGCTAGCGGGCGGCAGCGATGCCGCCACTCAGCGCCCGCCCCCGCGGTCAGTGGGCGGAGCTTTCCGCGAGGCTCGCAGCGCCGCTCAGCACCGACGGGGCGATCGAGCGGCAGCGGCGCGCGGGAATGGCAGGAGGGTCGGCTGCCTGTTACCCCGCGTAGTGCTGCGCGTCTGCTCTCGTGGCTCCCTGTTGTTGGGCTGGGGGAGGGGGGAAGAAAGGGAGAGCACCGGAACGCGGTCGCCGTGGCGATGCGGTCGGGCGGGCGTCTCGCCGAGCGCCGCCGTCAGAGGTGGTCTGCGAGCTCAGATCCGCGCGGTGAGGCCGGGTTACCGTGCCCGATCCGCAGCCCCGCGGTGCCCTTCGGTGAGAGCGCGGGGTGTCTGCAGGTCGCTTGCGAAACGCTACAGCAAAACTGTGGGTACGAGCGGGCGTTCCCTGAAAGCGCCCTGTGCGTATGTTCGCGGGTGGCTCCGAAAGTGATGCCTCCTTTGTTTCCGCAGAAATGTGAGCCGATACAAAGAGCGCGATAGCTCTATTTGATAGAGCACGTTCTGAGCTAATGTTTTTCACTGTTTTTCAACGTCGTCGCCACCATTACCTGCATTTTCACCAGCAATGAGTGAGAGCCTCCATGACTAGTAAAAATCTACACTGGTAGAAGTGGGTTATTGTTGCTGTCACCACTCCTGAGATGCACCACCACTGCCTCACTGTGCTCACATCCCCATAAGAGTCAGTGGGCATCTATGAATATCTGTCAACGGGTGCCGTTTTCTTTTTCCACATGGAGGAATTCAGTGTCTGTCAACGGGCGCATTTTTTTTCCACATGGAGGAATTCATTGACATACCTTTGCTTCGTACACTCTTCCACATCATACGACACCATTCTGTCAGACTGCCCCTCTGCAGCCATCCGTTGCACAGCAACAAAATGTAAGGAATATTGGCAGGAAGGCTCACTTTTGCTGCCGAAACACCAACATCCACCTCTGACATCTTGGGCCAGCATAATAAAATAGGTTGCATTACTTTTGGAGAAGCCCTTGTAGACATACAGACATATAGACTCTACTGACATGAGTGGTGCATGTTCAGTTCTTGGAGCTCCTGGAAGATCTCAGTTTTTTAAACAACTTGGTTCTCACTGGAATCCGGGAGGTAACAAAAAATAAGTTTGCACCTTGACAGTAAAGATCCAAGCTGGCCTTGAACACCTCCAGGGATGGGACATCCGCAGCCTCTCTGGAAGCCTGTACCAGTGCCTCACCACCCTTTTAAAAAATATCCCCCTAACATCCACTCTAAATCTCCTCTTTTAGTTTAGCTGTTTCCTCTTGTCCTATCACTATACGAGTGTGTAAGATTTCGGTCTCCCTCCTCATTTATAGGCTCCTTTTAAGTATTGGAAGGCAAGGCCACAGTGAAGTATTCACTGAGCCTTCTTTTTTCCAGACTGAAGAGACCATCTCCCTCAGCCTGTTTGCTCGTCTTCATGGTACTCCTCTATTCCTGATTCAATAGCTTCATGTCCTTGTCCTGAGGACTCAGACCCTGGACACAGTACTGCAGGTAGAGCCTCAAGAGGATAGAACAGAGAGGGGCAATTACCTTCCTCGCTCTGCTGGCTGTCCCTTTTTTTGGAAACCTCCAGAGATGATGACTCCACCACTTCCTGGGCAGCCTGTTCCAAGGGGCTTCCACTCCCTCTGAGATGAAATTCTTCCTAATATCTAAACTGAACCTCCCTTGGTGTAACTTGAAGCCATTACCTCTTTTCCTGTCACTGTCCATCTGGCAGAAGAGGCCTTAGTCCCACCCTAGCACAACCTCCTGTCAAGCAGTTGTGGAGAACAATAAGTTCTCCCCTGAGCCTTCTCCAGACTAAACAATACCAGTTTATTCAGTTGCTCCTTGTAAGACTTGTGCTCCAAATCCCTCACCAACTTCATTGTCCTTCTCTGATGTGTTCCAGGGCCTCAGTGTCTGTCTGGTTAGTGAGGGGCCCAAAACTGAGCACAGTACTCAAAGTGTGGCCTCACCAGTGCTGGGCACAGAGGTACAATCATCTCCCTGCTCCTGCTGACTATAAGCCAGGATGCCATTGGTCTTCTTGGCCACCTTGGCACACTGCTGGTTCATGTTCAGCCAGCTGTCAACTAACATCTCCGTATTCTTTTCCTCTATACAAGTTTCCAGCCACTCTGTCCCAAGCCTGGGATGTTGTATGCGGTTATTGTGAATGAAGTGCAAGACATACGATTTTCCTGGTTTTCATTCCTGAGAATAATTGTTCACAAATGTATGTACTACCAGAAGTGCTGATGTGAATAAAGCGTGATTATAAAGTGAGGGATGTTTTCGATGGTTCTTATGGAAGTCTAGTAAAGAGGCGTGATCAAATTTTTGAGTTGAGTATCTGATTGCAGCTCTGTACCTTCCATTTGAAATTGTGCATGTAATGTGATTATGTCAAATGGAAATGGAGTTGGAAATTTACAAAAAGTGGATTTTATTCAGCAATCTTACCCCTACTCTCAAAATGTTTTAACAAAATGGAAAGTGCTGCATATTTTTCACTGTTCGTAGGGCTGTGTTTAGCCAGTGTATCAAAATGCATAAAATTATTTGCCATAACTTGAGTTGTTATACACTGTTCCTTGTGTACTACACCCTCTGCCCTGGTTTCAGCCCAGACAATACCAGTCACACACTAATATTTGGTTGCTGCTGATCCGTGAGTACATGCCTGGGGCTGGGCTGGCCCACTTGGCAGGGCAGAGCCACCATCATGATCTCCTTTTTATTAACCATTTCTGGGATGCTATCAATAGCTATACTAGATATGTCGACAAAGGTTAAGGAAAATCACATTAATGTAACTTTTACTACTTCATACAAATCAAGATATTTATTATTATTATTATTATTTTTTTTGCATGGCCATTTCTTCAGTGCCATTATATTAGTTAACAATAGTTCTAATAAAAATGGCTAGTTAAGCTATATCAGTAGCAGCATTTCATTGGCTGCCATAGTGTAAAATTTGAAATTAGTGTCTTTACTCTCCAAATTTCTTCTGATGGATTTTCCTGTTTCTTTAGTTTGTCTGGCTATAGTCTGATGAGACAAATTGATTTTACAAAAGTCCAGTATTTTTATCAGGACAAATTGTATCTGCCATGCTTTCTATCTTTTGCATCAGTGCAAAACCGTCAGTGAATGGCTTTGATATTTGGCGACCAGCAGTCGCCATCCCCACACATACAAAGGCAGTCCCTAGAGAGCATGAGCAACTAGGACAGGCAAACACGGCATGGCATGACAGTGAGACCATGAGGCAGCAGGTTTTGCAGCACTTGGTGCGTGCTACCAGGGCTCTGTACCTTGCTTGCAGGTTCATATCCAGAGAAGCATTCCTGATCTCTGTTGTTACTGAGGTGAGTACTCTCCTGAGGACTAAAACCAGTGCCCCTACAGGAAAATCTTCAGAGGGGTTTTGCACTTGGGTTGAGGTAATCCCAGATATGTATACAAACTGGGAGAAGAAATCCTTGAGAGTAGTCCTGCTCAGAAGGATTTTGGGGTGCTGGTTGATGAAAAGCTTATCATGAGCCAACAGTGTGCACTTGTAGCCCAGGCAGCCAATGGTATTCTGGGTTCTGGCAGAAGACGGGTGGCCAGCAGGATGAGGAAGATGATTGTCCACCTCTGTTCTGCCCTCATGAGGCCCAGCTGGAGTATTTTGTCCAGATCTGGGACCCTCAGCTCTGGAAAGATGTGGAGCTTTTGGGGAGAGTCCAGAGGAGGGCCACGAAGATGATCCAAGGGCTAGAGCACCTCTCCTGTTAAGACAGGTTGAAGAAACTGGACTTGTTCAAGCTGGAAGAGAGAAGGCAGTGGGAAGACTAGTGGCCTTCTAGTATTTAAAGGGAGCTTATAAACATGAGGGGAAATGCACTTTTTTACTTGGGTAAATAGTGTTAGGAGAAGAGGAAATGGTTTTAAATTAAAGGAGGAGATTTAGTTTAGATGTCAGAGGGAAGATTTTTACTGAGAGAATGGTGAGGTGCTGGCACAGGCTGCCCAGTGAAGTTTTTGCACAGATTAGATGGGTCTTTGGATGGTCTGATCTAGTACTTGACATAGCAATTGGTAACCCTGCCTGTGGCAGGGGATTGGAACTTGGTGGTGCTTGAGGTTCCTTCCAACCCAAGCCATTCTGTGATTCTACGATTCTGTGATTCTATGATTGTACGATTCTATGTCAGACACATCCAGCCAGCCAGAATTGGTGAGAAAGGAGACCTTGGTTCAGGCAGTTGGTTGCACCCAGTGCTTTGAACCTTCTTCTTGTGTTAAGGTAAGTACTTGCCCGAGGTGTATGTAAGTGGATAATCTTTTGTGACAAGTGGCTGAGTTGAAGAAAGCAGTTAAAAGGCTGCACAGCATTAGAGGTGCTGAGAGAGAGAAAGATAGCATGTTTAATAATCATACACCAGTAGTGGATAATACTGAGAAGGAGGCACTTTAGTTCCTGATGATGCACAAAAGCAAGGCTCCACTTCAGTCCTCACCTTCCTGCTTTACTACCAAAAGCAGATATGAAGCTCTTGCATATATAGACACTCATGAACAAGATCTGCAAGTAGAAATCATACTGGCTGCTTGCAGTGGACGAGTGGACGGTGAGGTGGGTTGAGAACTGGTTGACTGGCAGAGCGCAGAGGGTCGTCGTTGGTGGTGCAGAATCTGGCTGGAGACCTGTAACCAGTGGTGTCCCCCAGGGGTCTCTGCTGGGTCCAGTCTTGTTCAACATCTTCATCAATGACCTTGATGAGGGGACAGTGGCCACCCTCACTAAGTTTGCTGATGATACGAAGTTGGGAGGATTGGCTGACACGCCTAAAGGCTGTGCTGCCATTCAGCGAGACCTGGACAGGCTGGAGAGCGGGGCAGTAAGAAACCAGATGAGGTTCAACAAAAGCAAGT